CCCCAGTTCCCTCCTTTGAAGGCCCACCCCCTCTCTCCTCCCCCACAGACATGTACCTGACAACATGGTGAATTTAATTCTCCATAGTCTTTTATCGGAATGGGAGTATGTGCCAGGCTCTGTGCTCGGCCTGAAGGCAGGTGGCAGTGGGGCATGGAGCCCCCCTATGCTGAGAGATTGAGGCGTGAGGAAAACAGCCTGTAAAAGCTAAGGGGGACTCGGTGGGTCAGGAGGGAGATGCTCAGAGCTGCTGGCACAGCCAAGGGAGTGGGCAGCCTCTGCCCAGGGGACGCCCAGGTGCAAAGGGGTCGGGAGATGGTGGGCTTCACTGAGGGAAAGGGAGCCTGCACAGTCAGGCTGTCCGCAGGGAGAGCAGGGGCCCTCTCCGCGATGCCTGGGCAGCTGGGTCCAGGGAATGGGCCTGCAGGGTCTCTCCAGAGCCCTCCCCGGTGACTGACCAGGCTCTGGTTGGTGTGGAGAAGGTACTGGAGGGGAGAGAACAGATTCCAGAGGCCAGGCCAGGAGACCAGGGCGGAAATCCAGGAGCGAGGTAGGAAGACGTGCTGGCACTTGGTCCGTGAGGAAACTAACGCTCAGAGGTGGAAGGCCCGAATCTTAGGGGACACAGCTGTCCAAGGGCATCCTGACCATGCAGACCTCAGACCTCAAGCTCCTGGGCTCAGGGGGACCCATTAGTGCTTTGTCTGCACTCAGGCCTGCGGGACCCCTGTGAAGCGTTTCAGACTTGCCAAAGGCAGATCAGAGGCAACCTGAAGATTAAAGGGCTTTTCTGCTCACGTCTCGAAGCTAGAGGCCCAAACTCCAAACCGCTGCCTCCCATCCTTCCTCCTGCCGGTGATGATGAGAGGCTGGCAGAGAGCCCCGAGCTCCCTGCCCGGGCTTCCTTTCCCGTCCACCAATGCCACAGGCCTCGGGGCAGAAAGCCACGGGAGCAAGGACCCACAGGAGGAATAACTTATGACCGGGCCCATCCTGAATGCGGGAACTTGGGGAAATGGGAAATCCTGCTCCTCCCGCTGAAGCCTCACGGGGAGGCGATGTGGGGAAGAGAACTGGCTTTGGAGGATGCGGAACAGCTATGTGACATCGGCCAAGTCCCTTCCCCTTCTGACCCTCAGGCTGTGTCCCTGGAAGACAGTGATGTAGCAGGCGCCCTCAGGGGCCCTCGCTCTGTCTCCTGTACACAGGGCACCCTGGCATCTCCCTACTGCAGACGCCGCCCCAGGGCCTCCGCAGCCCCAGGAGGACTCTTGGCCCAAGTGCACGGCAGGCTCAGAGTTCCTGGGAGTCAGCTCCCCAGGGAGCAGCCTTTAACCAGTGACAACAGGAGCTGGCACGCACACCCCACTGTGCCGCCCCTTTCAGAGAACTCTCAGCTGCACCCGGTCGCCTCCTGGGGGGCCGCCAGTGGGGGCAAGCCCCAGGGGCCACCGTGCCACCAGCTCAGTAACACAGGTCCCTTGGCTCTGCTCCTTTCCCTCACATCGCCACGCCCTAAGCAGTGATTTCTGAGGTCATTTCCCCAATAAGCTCCTTGCTCTTGAATCCTGCCCTCAGGAGATGCCTCTGCAGGACCCCAGTCCTCACAGTGGTAAGCCCACTTTCACAGGACGGAAGGAGGCAGCAGGGGAGGACCAAATACAGACCACTCAGCAAGGGGCAGTGTTCTGATAAGGGGGCGGCTGCACCCAGAGACAGGCACCCCTTCTTCACCTCCTCCACACACCAGCTCTCAGCACAGCCCCAGGCCTCCATTCCGACTCCATTAGGAGCCTAGGCTAGTGGCCAAAGACAGGATTTATGACAATCCGATAAGGTTTCATCACCACGGAAGCTTTTAATAAGCCAAAGTGGAGGGAAGACACTGCACAGTTGATTTACAGCCTTTTGGCTGCAATCTGCCAATTACTTTTCAAGTGGAATCACTTAGGCAGGAACATATATCATGGGTGACATTCGCTGGCCCTGATGTGGGCGGTGGGGTGACCTGTGTCCACCTCTGTCACCTGGCTTTCTGAGTAAGGGCTTGATATGGGGAATCCTTAGGGAGCAGCCTGGGACGTGGAGAGGAGACCTGGTGAGTGACGGAAGGGACCACACGCAGGTTACAGCCCCACAGCGCGTCAGCTTCCTATGCTAAGGGGTCATCCCCGCACGACTCAGCATGTTCGCTCCCACAGACCCGGCCCCACTGAAGGGAGGGTTTCAGAAACAAGAAAGTCTGAGCGGCCATGTTTCTTCACTGCATCGCTGGCCATAATGATCCTTCCAGTTCCCGAAGGACTGAAAAAGACAGCCTAAGGCCAAAGATCAAGTTGATGTAATAAAGCGAAGGGTTTTATTCATCGAAAACTATAGCTGGGGATTTCTTTTAAGAAATTCACTCCACGTCCGCGACCAACTCAGTTTCACTGGCTAAAACTCAGTTTTCGCAAAGTTTGGCCTCCTTGAAGCAGGCACCTCTCGGTCTCCCCCAAAGCCTGCTCCTCATAAACAACACACCCAGTTTGGTAACAGTGTCAGCCGCAGCGGACAGGCCTGAGGACCAGTGCCCCTTCCCAGGTGAGCTGGGAGAGGGGTGTCCTGCAGCAGGCCCAGGTGCACTTGGGGACCAGCAGACTGGCTGTGCGGCCCCAGAGCTAGGGGGTGCTGGGTGAATAAGGACTCACAGGGGGGCCAGCAAGCCCGATGCCCGGGTCCCCACGGTTGCCAGGAGAGCCAGGGATCCCAGGTAGGCCTCGGTCCCCCTAGAAAGAGAAAACATAAGATCGGGAGGTCAGTTCCGGGAAGGAGAGGGCCAGGGTTCAAAAGGAATCATGCTTTTCTCACCGTCCCGACCACACTCGCCCCCACCAGGACTCGGCGTGCCCTCTACAGCTCACCTAAGCAGCCATCAGCCCATCACTGCCCTCCCCAGCCCAACGCCCATGGACCACAGCCACCCACTGTGATCACACACCTCGCAGGGATGACCATGCCCCAACCTTGACCATGGCTCCAAATGCGACTGTAACAATGCAACCCCCATGTGACCACAGCTCCAAATTTTACTGTGCTTTCTCCAGAACTCCTCATGCTCCCCCACTTCCTGAACACATCCTAGATTTGACCCTGTACCCACATTTCAACTCAGTAAATGGATCACCAAATCACCAGTAAATTAATTCATCAATTTACCAGTAATTTGCCAGGTAGCTATATTTTTGTGGGCCAGTTTTCCAGGGATTGGGAGGGGCGTCGATGACTGAGACATAATCTCCGCCTTCCGGCACAGCGGTTAATAGAGTGTGGCTCTACGTTCGGGCTTCAGCACTGATTAATTGTTGACTTAAGGACGTGACAAGTTCCCCAAGCTTTGGCTTCTCTATTTACAAACGGGAGGTAATAGAAGGAACCGCAGCATCAGCAGCTGTCATGCTCGCTAGACGAGATGACACATATGGAGTGCCTGGCTCGGCTCTCAACCCCCACGCACATTAGCTGCTGTTCTTATGAACCTATCCTTCTGGACTTTGATGGGCAGAGGAAAAGGAGAAGAAAAGGGAAAAAGGGAAGACGTTCTGCTTGTCATTTCTGATAACAGGAAGCTCAGACAGAGTCAGACCTTCTCTTCCACAATTTCAAAATCAACCTCTGAAGACAAGTGCTGACCGTAACTCGTGGGCAGCAAGACCTGGCTTGTACTGAGCCAGGCTATTTAGAGTCTTCAGTTATCCTGGTTTTCTATGGGTAGCGACCCATTTCCGCTGCATCAATATTAATGAGTTTGGTTAGGAATACGGCCCCACACGCCAGAGTAAATGTTACATATATACAGTTTGCAAGTCACTACCTTTCTAAATTCCATAAGAAATTCAACCCAAAACGCACCTGGCCCCAACACTTTCGTGGGAGAGATGGCGTCCTTATGTTAGAGCAGCTGAACTGCAGCCGAGCCTAACGCTGAAATGGCAGGTGACCTTGTTTAAGCCACTTACTATCTCTGGATGAGTTCACTCGTATGACACCTGGAAGGAGCCTTGTTATGGAAGGCCAATGAGATAACATGCAGCAAACCGACTTCAGGTAGAGCCTGACGCTGACATTGCTTTGGTACATTTTTTGTTTTTAAGCATTACAAAAATCCCATTAATAATCAGTTTGCCCCCCAAGGCCCATGCTTCCCGAGAGCCACGGCAGGCCTCTGCCCCACCTGGCCTCTGTCAATGGTCCCCACCTGAAACGCTCGTTAAAGCCCCAGATGGAGCCTTCTGTTTCTTTAGGGTAATATGGCCTGACTGATTCTGGCACTGGTAGAATATCTAATTTGTTATACGCGGGGAAGGTGGGGAAGGGAGGAAGGCAAGAAATCAGGCAAATATGGAGGAAAGTGTAATGCACTAAGAAGAACTACGATCCGTGTTGTATCGTCACCTGCATGTAGCAACTGTGAGAGGATCAAGTAGGAAGATTTCAAATGGACAGCCCGGTGGCTCTCGGTCCAGTCTTAGGACAATGTCAGCCTGGCCTGTGACCTTGGGTGCATCCTATACCTCTCTGCACCTTAGGACCCTCATCAGTCAGAAAAAGAGAGCATCCTACCAAATTCCCGCGTATCTGATAAAGACTCATGCAAAAGGTAAGAGACTATATACAACATTGAGTAGTACAGGTATACTAGCATCGTTTTATCAGCAGGATTAGAAGACAGAAAATAAACACACACACAGATGTCAGAGAAATGCATATCCTTTTGCACCTCGGGTTCCCTTTAAAAGATTTGATGTACATTTCTTATGATAACCCTGTTTTTGCTGGGCTCTTCTCTTCCCCCCAAGGCTGTTTCATGCACATTAGGGAACCCTGACTCCTGCAGGCTGAACTATACCAGCAGCCGGGTTTGCATCCTCCCAGGCGAGTTTTTATACCCGCTTCCTGCACGATTTTCCCCCGGCGGCGATGCTTTCCCACCCATGGTAAGCGTCCAAACACCTGCCGTCAATTATGACTTAGCCCAATTATTCCATTTCCATAAACCTCTGCCTGCCCTCCTCTCTGTCCTCTTCCTGCCATTTGCACCTATCTTCATGAATCCTAATACACTGCCCTCTCGTTTGGTCTGTCTGACCCTGTGACCTCGATGTAAGTGTCCTAAAAGTAGAAACTATCCATTCATCCATTTATCCATCAATCCAACAAATATTTGCCAAGCAGCTAAAATGAGTCAGACCCCACCTTGGGTACACTCTCCATACACTTTTGCACCCACAGTGCCCACTGTAGGTGCTGGCACCAGTGGCAGCATTTAAGAGCAATTTCCTGAATGCCAGACTGAATGACTCCATCGTCACTCATTTTGTCGGGTACTAAATTCTGCCTCTGACCAAAATCAACTTTCCACAGAGGAGGGAATGTGATAGAAAGATCTCTCCCAGCCCAGCCTGAAACCTGAGTTGCTCACTGATCGTTCTCTTCTGCAGGGTCACCTGGCCTGGCTCCATCTGTATGTTTATGGCCCATTGTGATGCTTGCTAACATTTCCCCCACGCAACCACACTTCACAGCTTAATGGACTGGAATGTTAGAAAATGGCCCCAAGACAAGAGCAAAAGACCTTAATGCTCTGCCAGCATAAACAAAAAGGCTCAGGATAAAGAAAAAAGGGGCACAGGAGCCCGTTTTGCCTGCAAACATTGTGGGCCAGTTCAAGTGTCCAGGAATAAATATGTGAGGAAGTGTGGGGTGGCAGGAAAATGACATTTATTGAGCAACGACTATGTGCCATAAGATCTTTTCTGTCTACATCAGCACTCTGGGGGTTTACTCTATACACAAAAGGAACAGGGTCTCAGCAAGAACCGCCACTTGCCTTTAAGTTATCTGTCTGGTAGGTAGCTGAGCTGGGATCCTAACTCAGTCCTGTATGAAATGCTAAGCCTGTTAATGTTGCTAGGCACCGGAGAAAAAAGGCATCTTTAAGAGTCTTCCTAAGGTGGGCTGAGAGGGTGCCAGTGAAAGTCTTTACGTAGCTCCCGTCCTCAATGCCCCCAGGGGCTTTCAAGTCAGCACCACGACAGCAGCAGGGCCAGGCACACAGCAGGCCCCCTCGCTAGCTTCTCTGTCCATCTCTCCCTTCCTCTATCTTCCTCCTGTCCCCCCTTGACACCCCCATTCTCCAGCTAAAGACCTCTCTGAATTCCAACTTACCTCCCCAATCCAAACTGACTATGGAAATCTGTATTTACAGACCACATTCTAACTTACAAGTGGAATGGGTCCTCTGTTTACACATCTCACGTTTTAACCAGGAGGAAACATTTGGCCAGAGGGGCAAAGTGACTTGCCCTGTGGCCCCTGGAGTTGTACCTGGCTGGTCAACTGGACCCCAGGTCCAGGCTCTCTGCACGCCTCACCCCAGGGCCTCGGCCCCCTCTCCATTCCTCAGTGCAGCTGCCACCTGCTCAGTATGTTAAGCGTCTGAAATCCAGGGCTCATATCTCACCAGAGTTAGACTAATAGTACGAGGCTGCTTCGATCTCTTGCTCTGCTGGTTGCAAGTGTCTTTTGTAACTTCATTCAATCAGCAAATACTTATAAAGCTCCACCTGCGTGGCTTCAGTACCACGGTTCAGAGACACAGAGCCTTTAATCCAGAGGGATGTGATGAACTGGAGAACAGGGAAGTGGACTGGACTTAGGTGTCCAGAAATGCTTACAATAAAAATCTCCAAGGTCTCCTTCTAAGTGCAACCCATGGCATTCACAGTTTGCTTGGATAAATGCATACCTTGGTTCCGAAAGGTCCAGGTAAGCCAGGTGGTCCACGGAGTCCCTGGGGAAGTAAAGGATAAAGGATGATTACGGAACCAGGAGTGAGCACTCACCAGTCCTCCACACGCCAGCGGTGTGTGCCCTATGCTGTTGGGGGAGGGGCCCAGGTGTACAGGACTCTGCCCGTGACCTTGGTGCACAAAGAAAACAACCTGTGTTGGAGCCACAGGCCCTTGGGTGTAAATCCTGGCTTTGCCTCTGACTGCCTCGGCGTGACCTTGAGCCAATCCCTCAGGCTCTCTCACGTTGCTTCCCCGCTTATGATCCTTATTTCACAGGCTCCCACAGTAAGGGCGAGGCCATGTTTCCAAGGAGGCCTCATTCGATTCCGAAGCCTGATCTTCCCTGTTTACCAGGCTACCATGGGGCCCAGTGGGGACAGTCTTCCAATTCAGGCTGTAGGGTTTCACGAATGCCGCTTCCGCTGTGAGGTTTTCCCAGACTTTACACATGGACCAAGCAGCCCCTTCTCCAAGTGCACACCTATGACTGGCCCAAGCTCTGGTTACATCAGGAGCGTCTCAACGTCACAGGCTCCAATCCAGCTCTGTGACCGCAGCACCTGGCCCAGGGCCTGGCATGGCAAGCACTGCACACAGGACGTGGTACCAGGCCGCTGTCTGGGAGTGTCGCTGTCTCCCCACACCACACCCTCTCCCAGCAGCCTGGTTTCACCGGCTCTGACTCAGTTTCTGCAAAGTTTGGCTAGTGAGTGCTTTTCCCATTTCCTTTTTCTTTTCTTGGTCTAGCCTGGTTGTCACAGGCACAGAAATCCACGGCCCTGACACGTACCGGTTCTCCGTCTTTCCCTGTTCCAGGCAGCCCGGGAGCCCCAGGATCCCCTCTGGGGCCCGCCGGCCCTGGGCTCCCTCCTTCGCCGGCTGCTCCCTGGAAAGAGAAGGGGATGGTTTACAGGATCACGGACACGCAGAGGGTCAGCTCTTCAATGGTGGACCAGCCTGAAGGGGGCTGCAGGGCTTCCTGGTAATGTCCTGTTTCAAAAAACCCATCCCTTCTGAGAGCATAGAAAGATGGACTCTGTAATGCATGTAACAGGTTGGACTGTCCCCCTCAAATTCACATGCGGAAGTCCTAACCCCCAGTACCTCAACTTAGAAAGGGCCTTTGCAGATGTAATTAGCTAGGTTAGGTTGAGGTCAGACTAGAACAGAGTGGCCCCTGATCCAATATGAACTGGTGGCCTCATAGGCAGGGGAAATGTGGAATAGGCACGTGTAGAGAGAAGAGAGTACGAAGGCGCAGGGAGAAGCCAGGTACCAATGAGCCAAGGAAAGAGGCGAGGAAGAGGTCTTCCGAGCCCGCGGAGGAGCCAGCCCTGCTGACGCTTTGATTTAGAACTTCCAGACATGGTGACCACGCTGAGACAGTACATTTCTGGTGTTTAAAGGGCCCGGCTTGTGACCTTCTGCAAGAGCAGCCTTAGCAAACTAATAAGACATGGAGCATGGGAATGGAAAGGTTTTCTACTCCAACCCCCCACCCAGCACAGGAAACCGTCAGGTGCACCTCTTATGGGCAGCCCTCCATTTCTGCTTGAACTCCTTCGAGAGCAGAGAGCTCACCACTGCTCAAGGGTTTCACTCCTTCGTTGGGCAGCCCTATCACACAGTGTTTCTTTCCACTCAGCCAAGACAGCCCTGTCTGAAATCTTCCAGACATCTGACACTCAAACTTGGGGGAATCTGCAGACAAAATGTAATCCCTCTGTGTTAGTAATACAAACACAGCTCCAGACTCCAAAGTAGGGGGGAGGTGGAGGCAGAGAGAGGGGCAGAGGGAGGGAGGGGGGAGGGAGAGAGAGAGAGAGAGAGAGAGAGAGAGAGAGAGAGAGAGAGAGAGAGAAAGGATGTGCACACGCATGCCAGGATCTGACAAGGGAGCTGGCCGTGGTGCTAGTTCCAGACAAGTGTTCACCCCTCGTGCACAAAGCCACAAGCCCTGTGGGGTGTCCCTGGCCTAGGGCAGGATCCACTTCCCCAAGCCCCGGGACAGCCCCTGGACACAGGGAGAGTGAGAAAGAGCCTGCCCTGGTGGCAGGGATTTGTGCCACTTCACAAGGCACTCAGGTCCCCTTCCAGATGCAGCCCTAGCCCTGGACTTCAGCCTGGGTTTCTGCGCAGCCAAGGAGAGGTGTCTCGCTCCCCCTAGAGGCTTGATGTGCAAACAGCTCACTGATGTTTCTCTTCTGCTCAACCAGTCCTCAAAAAACCTTTCCAAATCTCAGTCACCCTTCTACGTTGTCAGTGCCCGACTTATAATAAGTCCAGATCGAACCCAATCCTTCAGACCCACGTGGTATAATCAAGGCAGAGCAGATGGGCAGGGTTTTCTGCCCTTGCTTAATCTGCGTGCTCTACTCTCATTACTGTAGTCTATGACGGTATTACCTTTTTTCAAATAAATGCACAAATAAATAAAGGTTTTAACTGAGATGATAATCAACTAACATTCCAAAATGCCAAGATATTTCCTGCAGGTTGGTTGATCATTTTTCTCAGTAATTAATCATTTTCTTCTCTAAGTATTTTAAAATTGAGCGTTCCCACCAGAATGCAAATGTTTACATCTATTCTTGTTGCATTTTGCCAAAACAGAAAAGATAAAATGATCACGCCTTTAAAAGGTTCCAGGGAAAGTGGACTTGAAGGAATTTGTACTGAGAAGTTCAGACATCTGTGTGCTGGAGGAGGGGCCTCTGAGGAAGATCCGTCAGGAATTGGGGAGCTCGCTGGGACACCTGTCCATGTGGGGAGATCGGGGTAGCCGACCTCCATCACTCACATCACCTGCTCTCTGCTGAGCCCTCTGACCTGTCAGTTCTTCAGTTAACCCTCACACGTGCAATCAACATATTACCGTCCCCATTTGACACACGAGAAAATTCAGGTGCATGGAGGGTGCCTGAGAGCGAGGTTTCTCCACCTTGGAACTGCTGACATCCAGGATGGTTAATCTGTGTTTGGGGGCTGTCCTGTGACTGTGAGATTTTAGCAGACTCCCTGGTCTGGCCTGCCAAATGCCAGTACAGTCGCAGTCCCTCACCAGTAGACATCAGAGACACTTCTTTAAGTGCGAGGTGGGCTATCAAAAGGCTGTGGGTTCTCCTCCTCTGCCCCTGAGGTGCTGGGGTTCTGGGGGACACCGTGTCTCTCTTCTTCCTAATAAATAAGGCTTTCTCGGGAAGTCCTAACCATGCACTCAAGGTGTGGAATGGTTACACTGGTGCACTGAACTAAGAAAAAACGGAATTTGAAGTCAGACATACTGAGCTCTGTGGCTCCTGAACTATGAGATTGAGGGCAAACCGATTAATGTCAGAGCCTCAGTCTCCACATCTGTCAAGTGGGAACCCATCTGATTCACAGGTTCGCTGTGAGGGGTAAGTGAGGTGGTTGCAGGGCCTGCTCCCTCCCTTCTCCTCAGAGAGCCCCCCTCCCCCGACTCCTGGGTCCTAGCCAGGCCTGAGCAACATGGGTCCCTCTGTCCTTGCTTCTCAGAAGTTGAGAGTAGATGCTGTGTGCTAAAAGATGGCATGGTGCCTTACCTTTTCTCCACGCTCCCCATCTTTCCCAGGGGGTCCTCTGATGCCAGGGGGGCCCTGAAGAAAGAAAGGTTATTCACATGGTCAAGATGCAGATGGCCAGTGGCCCCAGAGAAGGGTGATCAGGTGCTCATTTTAGTCGACGACTACAGCTCTGTGCCCCCTCGTTCCCATCCCTGACGTAGATAGGGTCCTCGCCGCTGAGCCCTCCCTCATCTGCTCACACATCCCTGCACATCAGAGCTCTTAACATGCAGCCTCGGACCTTCAGGCCCCCACCTGTCCCCGGCTTGTAGCTCTCAGAGGGCAGGGCCTGGCCCAGAGGGGACACCAAGGGGGACGCGGAGGACCTGAGAGCACAGGCTTGGCACAGAGACCTGCTCCACCTTCCTTCCTTCACTGAGGTTGACTCTGAGACAAGGCTGAGTGCATGTGTTCCAGGGCACGCCGCAGGCAGGTGAGAAAGGGGACAGCAGGTGGCAGGTCACACACAGGTACACCTGGAGCTCAGTCCTGCTGGGGCTCAGGGAGCCAGCGTGGGACGCAGGACGTGGACACACCCCCAGAGCAGCTCCAGAAGGCGAGGGGCTGGCACTGACACCTCCATCTGCCGGGGCTGCTTCTGGAGCTATTGGCCACGTGGCATGTGGCTGGACAACGTGGTCACTAAATGCCAGACAGAACCCTCAGGCAAAGTAGGCTTGGCTCCTGGGGGTCAGCGAGTGGCACACACTGAATTGGGAGGTGACGCACTGCAGGCAGTGTCCCCACGGCACCTACAGAGATCGCTGGGGACATGCCTCGCCTCCCTATGCCTCAGTGTCCTCCTGTGTGAGACCGGGGCCGTGATAATATCCACCCCCAGGGTTGTGAGGATGAAAGCAGCCAGCACGTGTCAAGCGCTCAGACGTCCTGGCTGGATCAACGCCCAGTGCTGTCCTCTAAGCGGCAGCAATTTTCATCTGGAGGGCCGATGGCTGCACCAGACTGACCTCCATCTAATTTAGGAGCACAGAATCTGCTGCCCTTCCCTAGAAGCCATGGGGTGCTTTACTGCACAATGTCAATGTCAAAGTCAACGTCTCCGTGGGATCTGAAAGCTGTCCATCAGCAGATACCGAGGGCTCACACGGGGAGGCGGGGCCTCAGCATGGGGGCGGGGCCTCAGCACCGGGAGGCGGGGCCTAGGCACGGCAGAGGTGAAAGGTGAACCAGCACAGCCCCCTGCTCTCAGTTCTAAGGTGCAACGCTGAGGCCTCCAGGAGCAGCCTGTAGACGCCTGGCAGCCACTGGGTGGCAGAGCTGTGACTCAAATCCAGCTTTCCCAACAGTCAGACTCCTTCAACTTCCTTATGCTCACTTTGTTTCTTTGTTTCTAAGGCAAACTCAGAGGCTGAGTCCAACATCAGGGACATTCGCAGACTGTGCAGTCACAGCACCTTCATTCACCGCTGGAGGTCTGGTGAGCTACCTGCAGCCTTAGGTCAGTAACTTCCCAGGTGACCTTTGTAGGGACATCAGTTTCTCCATCTGTAAACTGGAACTAAGGATGCCTACGCCCGGAGATTCAGCGGGTAAATCAGCTAACTTGGTGGGTGGGTGCTGTGAATCCACAGCCACGGTCGGTGTCCCCGCCCCCTGCCCCACCCCCACTCCGATTACTCACCACACTTCCTGGGGGGCCACTGGGACCAGGGGGACCTACAGGTCCAGGAGCGCCCTATCAGAGGCAGAAGAAGTTCAGAAAGGCCCATGGTTTGATTATAGTAGCTGCCCCCAGTCTCTCTCCAAACCTGCCTTCTGCTCAGCTCCCCATGACCAGCTGAAATTACTCTCACCTGAAATTTCCCTCCCCAGGTAAGGTGGACCTCCCCCTGTTTGAGTGTGGCGGCTGCCCAACTAGCCTCAAAGGAGTGGGATGCTGGCCGAGGTGGGAGGCCGGAGGGCACAGGTTCCTTAAAACACAGAGGTGTGTGTGTGTGTGTACATGTGTGTGCATGCATGTGTGTGCATGTGCATGTGTGTGTGTGTATGCATGTGTGTGCGTGCATGCATGCGTGTTGGGTCTGACAGGTGAATCAGCAGACGCTTCCTGCAGGAAGTGGACTTGAGCTGACATTGATGGTTGGACACATGAGCATACTTCTCGGAAGCATAACCATCCGTGAGTGGGTGTCTGCGTGTCGCGTGTGTATTGTCCCGTGTGTGGAAGAACGTGAGGCATGTGGACAAAGCCCCAAAATACTTGGGTTGGTCTCTGAAAGGCATCTTTGGTCTTTGCTGGTCAAAAGGCCCCAGCCCTGGCCAGCCACTCAAGCGTGGACGGCATCCCAGGTCCTCCCCCAGTGAGCCCAGGGCTGTGAGCCCGGAGCCCCCAGGAGGCGGGCAGGACAGGACTCAGGACTCACGGGGTTTCCAGCTGCTCCCGGCACCCCACGTGCGCCTTCTTGTCCCTTGGCACCCTGCACAGAAAATGAAAGGGAAAGGTGGGACATCATGGACAACATTTGTCCTCCTCCCCACGCAGGCACATCTCGGGGATGCTATGTTCGTCAGGTGGTCCAAACTGAAAGCACAGGGAGTAGGCTCCACAGGTACAGAAACCACACCTCCCGGCAGGCCGCTGGCGCCTGGCACTCTGTCCTCACCAGCCCAGGGACAGGACGGCTCAGGCACACACAGCCAGCCAGCGGCCCTGGGACCTGAGCCCACACGGGTCACTGCCCCAGGAACTCTCCAGAGAACCCAGACACGTCCCAAGAAAGAGCCAGCTAAGAAGCCAAAACCGAAAAAAATAACAACAAAACCCAAATGCTAATACACAGGGGTGTCATTTCAGCCAAAGCTGCCAGTCGGGGCCTGGAGGGAGAAGGGGTTTCCTGCATCTGAAAAGCCTTAGGGAGCCAGGAACCGTTCTGCGCCCTGAGCACCGCTACCCAGATTGCACCGAGTCTCACATTTAGTGACACAGCAAGGACATCCCGGAGCCGGAGGCAGAGCCTGTCCAGGGGTCACGCTGTGGGGGCCTGTAGGAGGGCCTCTCTGCTCCTGGATGCTGGGCTGACAGACCTGGCAGCGCCTGTGGCATTGCCCCCTGGTGGGCGCTCCCGAAATGCCAGGCCAGCAGAGCCAGCAGAGTGAGGGCGGGACAGGGGGCTGGTGGGCATTTCTGAGTCTGGGGCCAACAGGTGGGGGGAGGGTTTTCTTACCGGTGGTCCAGCAGCTCCGGGAGGCCCCAGTTCTCCAGGACGGCCCTGTGAGCCCTGCAATGAAACAACCCACCAATAAGCTAGGTCACCACCCTTGTTCTGAGCCAATGGGGCTGGTGGGTCAAAGCTGAGATCTAAGGATGGGGGCACGACCTTGGGGCCGAGGGAGAAGGAGGGGACCACATTCAGCTCAGTGGGCTCTGTGGGGGGCTGTGCAGCTCAGACCTGTAGCTGCTTGGCCCTTGGCTGCCCTGTGTCTGGTGACCGGCCGCTCAGGGTGAGGGGCAGAGGGCAGAGCGCAGGCCACTCACCGGTTCCCCGGGCGTGCCACGATCCCCCTTGTCTCCTTTCGGACCCGGTTCCCCCTGCGGGTGGAGAAGCACTGAGTACAGCAGACATGCTGCGCCCCCCACAGACCCGGCCACCCTGTTCCCCCAAGTCCTTCATGTGCTNGGAGGCCCCAGTTCTCCAGGACGGCCCTGTGAGCCCTGCAATGAAACAACCCACCAATAAGCTAGGTCACCACCCTTGTTCTGAGCCAATGGGGCCGGTGGGTCTAAGCTGAGATCTAAGGATGGGGGCACGACCTTGGGGCCGAGGGAGGAGGGGACCACATTCAGCTCAGTGGGCTCTGTGGGGGGCTGTGCAGTTCAGACCTTGGCTGCCCTGTGTCTGGTGACCAGCCGCTCAGGGTGAGGGGCAGAGGGCAGAGCGCAGGCCACTCACCGGTTCCCCGGGCGTGCCACGATCCCCCTTGTCTCCTTTTGGACCGGGTTCCCCCTGCGGGTGGAGAAGCACTGAGTACAGCAGACATGCTGCGCCCCCCACAGACCCGGCCACCCTGTTCCCCCAAGTCCTTCATGTGCTCCTGACCCATCCCGCGCCCCCCCGAAGACTGCTCCCTCTGTTTGTGGGGGGCTCTTCCTTCTGACTCTACTCAGACACTCATCGTCCTTCAGATCCAAGGTCAAGAAACACTTCTTCGGGCAACTGACCCCACACCGGGCCAAGCCCTCCTCCTGGGGACTCGCACACCAGTGTCCTCCTTGACACCGGTCGCAGCAGCACTTTTACACGTATTTGTGTGGTTGATTCCTGTCCGCGCCAGCTCAGAGCCTGGCAAGCAGTAGGTCATCAATGAAAAATGCAGGAAAGAATGCTGAGGAGACCCTGGAAGCTTCTAGAAGGCCAACTGTAATATTTGAGCTGGAGAGCCTGGGGCGGGCTGGTGAACCTTCAGCTGGTGGACAGGGCGGCATGGACAGGCACGGCCCCGTGTGTCTGTCCACACATCCTCCCCGGCTACTCGCTGATGCCCCAGGGAGTGTCGGCGGGGCCCTGGGCCACGTTCCTGTCTCTGTACATCATCCAGTGAGTGGACTGAGCACCGGTGACCCTGTTAAACGACATTGCTCTCGCAAAGTGCTTCGTGCTGCCGACAGAGGAGGTTTCCCACAGATGCGAGTTCATTCCTTCTAGAATCTTCGTTCCCCACAACACACTCTGGCTCCATTCACCAGAGACAACAGGACCTTCCTGTCTAGCCTGGTTTCCTCCTTGAAACTTTCCGTGGTGGGGCTTTGTGACTCTTTGGTCCTCATATAACCCATAAAGACACGAGGGTTTACGGGGTCGTGTCAGGCGATGAACTGAGAAGAACGCTGCATACAGTCTCCTTTTCTGCCAACTGGCGGAAGGGACTCTAGGTGGCAGGAAGACGGGCTCAGGACCCACGAGTGGCCAGGCCAGAGGAGGGACCCTGGGGACCCATAGGCAAGATGCTCAAGCCATGTCTGTCCTGGGCCTGGGACTCAGGAGGCAGCCCCTTCCCTCCGGGGCACACTCAGTAACGGTTGAATGCGTGAGAATGACTGGCTTCTCTCTCCTCTGATGGCCCCCATCAGCGATGTCAGCCAAGCCGCGCTCCCTCTCTGGGCTCAGTATGGTCCCTGCAAACCCAGCATTGGCTGGGAGTCCCGGACGATGCCTTTGCAGGCAGAGGGGGTGGGGTCAGGCTGCCCAGAGCCTCTGAGATGGCCACTTCTGAACCACCTACAAGCCCGCAGGTTACAAGCCCCTCTTGAGTTCTCACCTGAAATTTCCCCAAGCCCACGGCTGCCTGTCCTTCCTTTTTCCAGCTGAGGAATGGGTTCCCTCTCCTGACGTCTCCAGGCCTGTTCTTCACAAGCTGCCATCACCAGGCAGCCGGGAGGCCTCCCCAGGTGTGGTCAGTCAGTCGCCAGCCATCCCTAGGAGGTCCTCACCTCCAGCAGCCAGGTATTTTCTTCTAGCTCTCCTCCTATCCCCTTTCTTAACTATGCTGCCAACTTTGCCGCCCTCCAAATCTCCCTGCCCCTCTCTGTGTGCAGGGGCCCCAAAGGCACACACCTGAGGACAGCAGCCAGGTGGCAACAGAACACTTTTCACAACCATCAATACAAGCATGGTTACCATGGCGACGAGGCTGGTCCCAGAGACAGCCATGCAATAATCCACAATGAATCTGTCTTTTTTTTCTTCATAGACTCAATTTCCTTGCTTTGCATCTGAGAGTGGCTTCCTGGTTCCTGCAAAGCTCAGACCCTGCAGGAAGGTGTCAGCAGGGGATGGGAAGGGGCGGCCCAGCCGGCCGCAGACCCTACCATGCTCCTTCCTCACTGAAGTGCCCGGGAAACATCTTTTATAGAGCAATTCCTTTCAGAAGAGGCTGGACGTGTAGGCTTGTCTCAAGCTTGAGGGGCTCAGGATGGGCCTGAGGGAGGGGACCCAGAAGATGAAGGGGCTGGGGCCAATGTGTAGATGGAGGTGGTCCTGAAAAGGGGACAATGGATGGCACAGTGAGGCCAGCAGCCGCCACCTGGGGGCGCGCCTTGGTTCTCAGCAGCAGGTGGGGACAGCCAGGCCCTTTGGCTGACAACTCTGTCTTGGCTCCCACCCCCTTTGCGAGCTGCTTCGCTCCTCTTCGTCACCTGTGAAGTGGGCACATCCTCAGGATGGTCTGCATTGTGCCTGCCGCGCTCGCGGCTCTTGTGCTGTGTCGCTTTGAGTCCTTCTTTTCCGAGTGTAGGGACGTGGCCAGAGGCCCCCAAACCCGGTCTTTCCCACAGGCACCTCCCAGTTTCTTCTGCCATCCACGCTGCCTGGTGACGCCCTTTCCTTCTTCTCACTTCCTCCCGTTTCACCTCCCAGGAAGCTCGAAATCCTCCGTTCCTTCCGCAGGGATGCCACCGGCTTGCTCTGTCTGCCTGCTCCGCTCAGTTCTTTCCCGCCCCAGACAGGATTCTTTGTAGCTTTTTAAGCTGCATCTACTTAATTCAGAACACTGGGATATGGGCTTCCATTCGGGCCTCTTGGCGGGCACGTCCTGGGGCAGCTGGTCAAGGCCCCATAACAGAAGAGCCGCGTCCATCCGTACACGCAAACACACAGGGTACATTTTCTGGCCTCAGCGTCGCCAAGAGCATAGAGATCCTGAGAACACTTCTTTTCAAAACAGCCATCCGTGAAAAGAGGAAGGTTAGCTTTCTTTCCTGCCCGTGTTTTCGTCTTGACAGGAAGCCATAAACTGCCCTCCCATCAGCCGCACCCCGAAGCAGGTTTGCTTGCATTGTCCTCTGAAAAGCCTCTTAGAACAGGGTCCCCTGAACGCACTCCTCTCCCCGGGTCCCCTTCCCTGCCAGCATCCACGATAACTGCCTCACCCCACTCGTTAATCTTCTGCCACCTCACACAGTTCCGTTCTCCTCCTCAAAACCACCAGCGATGTAGTGAAGAATTAAATTTACCCAAGGAGGGGTCTGCCCTTTGCCTTGGGCTCCAGGGCGGTGACCTCCAGGCCCTGCCTGACCTTGAAGTCTGCGCCTTACAGTGCCGGTCCCCACCAGCTGCCAGGACAAGGTCTGGACGGTGCCTGGCAGTGACTCACAACATGGGCTGCGAGTCAGGACCCTGGCCAGCCTCAGTCCCCAGAGCACCGGCTGCGGTCACAAGCCAGCCTGCGGGGCACGGGGCCGCACCAAGCGGCCATTCTACTTACTGGCACTCTCGGGTGCGGGGTGAACAGGGACGGCTGAAAGAAAACCACAAAAGGGAGAAAAATGTGAATCCATTTCAAAAACCTGCCTCCGAGAGACTTACCAAGGGAAATACAGCCCCAGCGTTTCCTTTGATGGCTATTAGTTTTCATAGTTAGAATCCCATATTTGCTTAACGTCCCTGAGCACCGACTAAGGCAGGAAAGCACAGCGGCTAGGTGTGGGAAGCAGCGTCACGCGGCCTGAGCTCAAGCCCTGTCACCCCCACCTACAAACTGTGTGACCTCGGACGTCTGTCAGCTGCTGTCCTCCCCTGTAAAATGGTGACGGAACATTCTCCCCACAGGGCGTGGTGGGGCAGAATCCATGCTGGGACATGGGTGCCCCATCAGCGTCTCCTTTTAGTCTGTCTATGATGCAGGTGACAAGGAAACCGGGATGACAGGCTCCGCCTCTGGGCACCAGGAGCCCAGTCCAGGCAAGCGCACTCTCTCAGCATATACAGAACCCCCCTGGATGGGCCCGTGTGACCCCGCAGCCTCCGTCACCATCCGTGCTGCACTAAACACCTCCCAGTCGTCTTCTGCAGCCTCAAAGCTTCTCCACATTGTCCTTCCTGGACCCTGCTTTCCTCCTCCCATGACCTGATTAGCTACGGCCCACCCTCCAGGGCTCTTCTGAACACATGCCTTCCCCTCCACCTGCAAATGCAAATCAGGGTCCCTTGCCATTCTCCCTAACGCGCCCTGTTCTTTTTCTTGGCAGCATTTCCTATCATTTGTAATACATGCTTATCTGGGCCGCTATGTGACCAGTTCCCCCCCATGACTAGGCTGTAACTTCCATCAGGTCCAAACCTTACCAATGCCTGACTCACAGCAGGTGCTCAGAAAAAAGAGGAAGAAAAAACAAAAGCAGTGAGTGGACAAAAGGGCACCATGGATTCTGGTCCCAAACACATGAATTTGAAATGGAAGGAAAAAAACCAAACCTCCTACACCTTGCCCTCCACGTCCCCAGTCCCCATCTTTCCCCCAGAAGAAACCACTGTCTTTGGTTTGGCAAATATTTGGACCCTTTTCTATATGTTTCCACACAATTGCGAATGTATAGAAATCCACAACTTTGCATGGGCGTTACAGAGATAGTCACAGCAAACACATTGCTACTTATGGTTGTGCGTACGTACTAGCGCATGCATTCTCGACAATAACTCTTAGGGTAAGATTATCTGCTTTTGCCCTGCTTTACGGGTAAGAAACTCGGGGGGCACAGAGGTAGCTACTTAATGAAGTTCACGCAGCCTGTGAATTCTGCAGCAGCAGCTGACAGCACATGGGTGGCGGTGGGGCATATGTTCTCCCCTCCACACACATGATGATTTACAAATTGATTTTTCCACTTAATTTTTCTTGAGTATTGGTATCTTTTCAAGGCTGTATACACAGTGTGAGTGTGAGTGTGTTTGTTTTTATAAAATAGGATTCCAAGTATGAATAGTCTGTGGTTTACCTCAGTCTATGCTTATGGTCATTCGGGCAGCCTGTAATTTTTCATTATAAGCAGCGCCGCAGCATCTGTACACCCTTGTTCATGCTTTTTTAAATACACACAATGCAAATATTACTCTAGAGAAGATGCCCAGAAATGCGATTTCTAAGCTGACAGGTGGACACATTTTGACCTATTGATGCCGAGTAACCTCCCAAATAAGCGTTATCACTTTGCCCGCCCACCAGGTGACAGGGCTCCTTTCCCTTCGTGCCTGCCAGCGTTAAATGTCGTCAGTCTTAAACAAAGTTTAGATGACCGGTTCTGACTCTGAATTTGCTTCTGAGATTCTCCCGGCATCCCTATGGAATGGCTGAGTCTTGTTTTGATGGGCATGTGTGTGGGGAGGAGGCTGAGTGGTAGCAAAACGGTTTAACATCTATAAGGACCACAGAGTGAGACTCTTTGTCACACCATGTGTCCAGGCTCCCTCATCTCCAGGCTTCCATACTGGGGCAGTGCCCTGCTTTGGCAAGCAGCTGCCCAATCCCTCACTCCCCAGTCGGGGCCAGCACCTGGAGCCTTGCTCGACTTCCCTAAAAACAACGGAGCAAAGCACAGCATATTCAAGCCTGAGAAAAAGGATTAAGATGAAAAAGGCAAAAAAAAAAATCCCAAATATGCTCCCATATTTATGTAGCAGTCATTTTATATTTAGTACTTATTAATGTACCAGAAATGGTGCTATGCACTTGTATTATTTTAATTAACTGCCCCTGCAAATGCACAAGATAGCTGGGTATAATACATATCCGAACAGATGAGAAATCCAAGTCTGTTTGAAATTAAGTAATATGCCTAAGACCACAGTGCTGGTGAATGGCAGAGCTGGGGTTCAAACCCACGTTTTTCTGACTCTGAAGCCCATGTTCTTACTCAACACCAACTCGCAGGGCCTGCCCTCAAACCTGCAGAGCGTGCAGTCAGGCTCATGGTTGTCTGTCCATATTGTACTCTTACCCGGGACAAACTGCTTCTTGACTCTGGACCTCAGTGTCCCCAATGTCACGGGTAGGTGTGTAGTCTCAGTGTCTAGCCAATGTTCTCATAAATAGTAATGTGCTTGCTGGATACGATAAATCAAAAAGCACAAGGTGATTCTTAGAGAAGCTTACATATTTTTGGACTAAAAACCTAGAAACAGGTCCTATTGGCTGACTCTGATAGAAAGATGTTTATAAGTAAGTGGTGTGTTTGTGGGAAGGGGGTGTCCCAATGTCTTAGAAATTCAAAGGAGAAAAGGTAAGAAGCAGAGGCACTTACAGTTCCAGGTAATCCCGGGGGGCCTGCTGGACCAGCTTCGCCCTGGATGAAGAAATGACAAACACATGACCACAACCCTCCTGCTAACTCTGCCCATCCTGGGATACCTGTCCCCAGACAACAGAATCACCCACCCTGCATCTACCTGGATGGATGGATGGATGGATGGATGGATGGATGGATGGATGGATGGATGGATGGGTGGATGGATGGATAGATGGATGCACGGGTGGATGCATGGATGGACAGATAGGTAGGTAGATAAGACAGATTCCAAATTATAAAACAATTCAGACACATAAAAACCTTTTGTTTTGAGAAGCATCTATGCTGACATGTATAGCTGTAGATCATTTATATCACCATACACCCATGGCCAGTGCTGCAGCAAACATCCTGACACCCTGACCTGTCCCACTCCCTTTGAAGGGGACAGGCTGTTCTCAGAGGCCTGAGGGACAATATTACATTCCTGTGAACAATATAAGTTTGGGAGTCAAACCTCCTAAGCTCAAAGCCTAATTCTACTATTTCATGCATTATTTTCCTCTTTGCAAAATAATGATAATAATACACACAGCTCACAGCATCCTATGGGGACTGAGGGAGGTCCTGTTTAGCAGGACCCAATAAAGTGGAAATCGTTACTACATTTGTCCTGAGGAAAGATGGTCACTGGGCTTCTCCACACGGGAGGAGCCACAGTGGGGGGGAGCATGGTCCCCAAAACCCATTATGTCACCTGTGCCACGATGGTGACTGGACTGGGGCATGTCTGCTCACCTGTATTCCTAGCAGCCCAGGATTAAGTCTATTATAGGCCTTCCCACATGGCAATTAGTGGACAAATGAATGACTAAAGTTAACTTAGAAAGGGACACCTGCCTTAGAAAACAACACTACAACAAGAAGTAGTTCCTATCTTGTTTTCCATCCTTATTTCCATTGTCATATAGTATTTAATTCCCGGTACTGGCTGACGCTTTTACGTGTCTGAACTCATTTACTCTCTCTATAAATGCCTGTAATGGAGACACTTCAGTGTTCGCATTTCATAGATGAGGAAACCAAAGCAGTAACATCTACGCATCTGCCCCAAATCACGGAGCCACCGATTGGCTGAGTCTGGTTTGAAACTCAGACTCCAAGCCTTTAGACACTATGCACATTGCCCTGCCTAAACTTCCAGAAGTTTCCGGAAAGAAAAGTACTTCCTCAGTGCTATTTGCATTACCTGAATTTACCCGATTCTCTTCCGGACACTGCTGACGTCATGCTCCAGAACCAATCGCCGCTAGCCCACCTGACCCCACATTAAAGAGTCCAAACAATCGAAGTTGAGTGTTTCCCAGTCATACACACGAATGGGTGCACACAAGAAGGGGACTGAAGGAGAGACACATCTCCAACCCAGGCAGCCTCACGGATGCCTCTTGGGCTAGGGCAGGGCCGGTGGGCAGGGTGGGAAAGACCACCCTGGTGGCTTTCTGGCTTAGAGAAAAATGCTTGGCTGAAGAAGGATCTATGAGTTCTGGAGCTAATGTGACAGGCCTGGGTTCAAACCCCCACTCTTCTAAGGGCCATTTAACTCCCAGCAGCCCTTGCTGAGAAGGGGATGTTATCTTACCTACTTTCCCAGCTGCCCTGGGGCATAAGTGCTCCCAGTGGGTGGAGGGAGAAAATGGGGGTGAGGGGAGCAGAGGCAGAGATGGAGGCACAGTCAGAAGGGGGCGGCACTGCTTTAACGTTCTATTTTGGAGGGTTTGACCTAAATTGTCTTATTATTATGTGTTTCTCTGAAGGTAGAGACACAGGCCAGATTCTTCAGCAGCTTGAATGCGATTCTGCTGTGACCCTGGCAATCCTGCCAAAGCAATAAAAGGGGTTTTATGGTCTCGCTGAGTCCTCTGCATTCTGGAAATGAGTTTCTCCAATAAAAATTGCATTTCTGAGAAGTCCACATGCGGAGCAGCCCGGATGGCTCTCCTCCAGGCTCTCTATTTATAGATGGCAGGTCTGTCTGGAGCCAAGCCCTCAGCCTTCAGCTGGAGAATGAGGGGAGGGGAGGCCCCCCTGGAGCCGAGGAAGGATGCGGGCAGAAGGAGAGCTGAAAACCGGAGCAGAGGGATGTGCACACTTGGGGGCCGAGGGGCCCGGGACAAGCGTGGTGCCGGAGAGGGGCGCTGCGAGGCCCCTCTGGGTGCGTTCCGTTCCTGGTCCGCGAGGTCAGGGAAGACGCTCGGCACCTCACGGCAGGTAGAAGCAGGCTTATAGCCTAGGCCACCACTTGGACTCCAAGAATAGTGCTCTTTCTACGACTGCAGGCAACTCACAGTCAACACCCGAAGGGGGGGTTTGCAACAAACGTAACTGATGACAGGATAACAACGGCAGCTCCTACCTTTTCACCTGGGTCGCCTTTCGGTCCTGGGAGGCCCAGTTCACCTTTCCCTCCCTACAGCAAAAGGTAAAATTCAAAAACATTAGAACTCAGCTGAGTGTAAGAGCTCTTCCGGTAAGAACGGGACCTTGGATAAATCCTTTTCTCTCTGATCTGCTCTTGTCTTATCAGGAAATACCACGATGAAGCCAGCTCCAAGGGGCATCCCGTTAGTTACGTGTGAGGCACCCACAGATGACGCACCCCACCCCGCTCCCATCCACTTCATCTGAAGATGCTCCCCCCTTTCCAGAGAGCTCTCTCGGCCACTGTTCTTGTTCCAACTCACAGGCCAGAGTAGCCTGATTCCCTCCTTTCCTCACCCATAAACCCTGCGGAAATACCCCCTAACCCGGCCCAAATTCCACCAGCCCCCGAGGGACTAAGACTCCAAAGGGGCTTGCTTTCCGAGGTCACAGGTGAGGTGGTTGGTGGGAAGAAGCCGCCATCACGTACCTGCTCGCCTTTCTCTCCCCTCAGGCCCGGGAATCCTGGAGCACCTGGGAACCCTGACTCTCCCTGTGGGAACAACATGGCGCCGTCATTAGGCAGTCAGGAGGGGGCTGTCCTGCGGGCCAGGCCACGGGACGTGTGGCCTCCGGCCGCCCAGAGATGTCTGGCTTCGTGCAGTGACACGAGAAGCAAAGTCAGGAAGAAAGGGGAATTCTAGAGAACGTCTTCACTGGGGTGTCTAAGCTCTTTCTCACTTCGGCTGTTCCCTCTCCCAGGGACCCTTATTTGGCCTCTCCTGGCAACTAACGCCTCATCCTTTAGGACTCAGACATAATGTCACCTTCTGGATCTTTCTGGACATCTGTCACGTGTCAGTGAGGGGCCTCTCCTATGCCCTCCCACCCTCACCTGCACGGGACTGCTCACGGCACCTGTTCAGTTGTTCTTGGTGCAAGGGTGTGCCCCCACCACAGTGACGGGTGCACGGACCATACTGATAATTATTAGGTAAGTAAATAAACGCAAGAAATGAATGTAGGGAGCCCCCCGAAGACAACGCTTACAGGCCTCGTGTATAGTGATGAATGAATGCCTTGAATGATGCATGGGGTGAAAAAAAAAAAGGGAATGAATGAAGAAGGTATGAACAAACAGACCTTCTCTCCAGGTCGGCCAGCCAGGCCCCGCTCCCCAACGTCGCCCTGGAGAGAGAGTAACAGACAGCCCATTATTTTCCAGTCGCATTTACAGAGATGACTGTCATTCCCCAGTTGGCCCCACACATTCACAGCACCCGCCGGCCACAACCCTTGATTCTCAGACACATGGCACGGTACCCCCCAAGCATCACAGGCCATGGAAACCCGTGTTTTGCCTTTCTGGAGAAAGGGGCTCCACAGGCCCTCATGTCGCATTTTGCTTCCCCCAGGGGAGACGACTTCAGGAGCTGAACCCACTCATCCCGAGTCCAAAGGCTCACAATCCAAAACAAGAGAGGCCAACATCTAGGACCCCTACATCCCCCCAGCACTGAGTTTTGTTACACTTCCGGCAAAGCCAGAGCCCAGGCTCAGTCCCGTGGTGGGGGCGGGGCTGCTGGTGAACGCGCCCACACTGACCACTGCCCGTACTGGCTGCTCAGACCCCTTGCCAACACAGGCAGCCCGTGGCAGAGGCACGTTAGAGCTTGGAGTCCCCTCCCCCATGATGTGTCACAACGAAGGCCAGTCTTGGGGCCCCAGGCAGGTATGCACAGGTTCTCGCAAGTTGGCTGAAGTGTGGTCCTCAGCCAGTAGGCTCCTGGCGAGCATTGTGTGGTCAGGGTAACGTGGGGACATGGGACCAGAGTGGCTTGTTCTCTGCCTCCACTGCTGCTGGGCTTACCAGGTCCCTACAAATCACTGACACAAAGAGGTGGGCGAGGGGGGACTGCAGTTTCTAACCAACCATGTATCTTGACAATCACTAACTTCTTGAATAAGAATGTCTAACATCCATCGTGCTAGTTAGTAAAAGCTTTGGCATTGGTTTCCATAAGGAAATGAGATTTTCTGATGAGTGAATGCACACATGAATGAATGAATGAATGGATGAATGAAGAGTGAATGAGTGACTGAATGAATGAGGGGGTATGCATGCACATAAGGATTTTCCTGCAGTTATACCAGACTCAGGTGGTAGTGAAGGCAGGCACCACCACTACTCACCAGAGAGGAAGGCAAAAAAAAAAAAAAAGAAAAGAAAGAAAGAAGGAAAAAGAAAACCCCAAAGCATTATTTGACAATTAAGCACACACTGCGTCCTGCGGCTCTGGTGTCACCAGGGGACTGGCCTCTGGAGTCAGCACAGACAGACATTCTGGGCGCACTCCACATCTCCCATCACCCCCAACTGCTTACAAGCACAGTCAGTAAGAATTGCTCTAACTGGAATTGTGCAGACACTTGCCATTCAAATTGTCACTTTAAATCTGCTAGAATGGTACGACCTTCGCAGTGGGACTTGCTTTGTCCGTGCTGAGCGAGCAGCCAAGGGGCTGAGTTTGGTTCCAAGGCATTTCAGAAACCATCCCCAGGGCCTCCTGAGTTTGTGCTGTGAACCCTAACCCTAAGGGGCCAATGAGGCCCCTCACCCTGCAGGGCAGCTGCGTCCCAAGCACACTCGTAAGCCTGCCGCCCACCACGTATCTATAATCCTCTCGGAAGATTTGTGTCTTCGGTTGGCATTCGGTCAAAATAAAGCAACAAGACCCCAGGCCAGGTGTCCTTTGAGGCTAGCATATGTTGCAAATGCATCATAACTGCGGGAACTCAGAGCTTTGAATTGCCTAGAGGTGTTTTAAACATATAGCTCTAGAAAGCGTACAAAACTGACACGTGAGCTGTAGCAATAGGTTTTTCTGTTTCAACCTTTCAGCCATTAGTGTTCATCAGAAAAAAAACAAACCCACGGGTCGACTGGAAGGCTAACGAAACCCTTGAGGCGCCTCTGATTTCGTCCCAATGCTTCTCACCATCGGTCACGTCTCCTGCAGAGCCACACACAGGGAACCGAAGGGGACGGGCGGACAGACTGCTTCTGAAGACCACTGACTAGGACGCTGAAATTAATATGGGGCAAGGCCAGAGGGCTTCCCAATCCACACACTGTGAGGTACGGAGAACCCCATAGAGTCAACGCGGTCTACAGTGAAAAGGAGCGGCAAACCCAAGCAAACGCTTTGAGTCCTCTCTGGAAAACGACAGTATTTTAACCCATCGATCTAGCGCTGAAAGGTGGCCTGGGGGCTTCAGAGACCATGAGCTTCAGACCCACACAACCACCTCCGGGTACGCCCGGATGAAACACAGCCATCGAGGGATTCTTCCATTTCAGTGACTTGGGGATCATAATAAATATTTTTTAAAGCACGAATGTTGATTCTTCAAATACGAAGGACCGCTGAGCTTGGAAATGGCCGTGGGAGGACTCCGTGTGCATTAATGGGGGGGCTGAGTTCTTAGAATGCGGAATCCAGGAAGCAGGCGGTTTCCTAGTGGAGTGTGGGCATGCCCTTTCCACATCTGAGTCAACCTGGGGCTGCAAGACAGCTGGGGGGCGACTCAACCTGTGCCTTTTCTGCTCTGTTTTAGCCTGGTCTTCTAAAGAGTGATCCCTGTGTGAAAAAGTGATGGATTTGCCCATCAGCCCCTTCCGGACTGACCTGCTGATCTGAGTGCCGCCTTCCGGAGGGCAGGGTCAACCACTCCTGTGCTCTCACTGGGCGGAATGCATTAGCCAACCTCCAGCCCATGAACCCTTTCTTAGCGCCCAGCAAGGGCCTGACGGCGGGCCCAGGAGGGAGGGGACAGGTGACCAAGACTCAACAGGCCCGTAACTATTGGGTTGTCGGAAAAGTCATGACGTATTTTTTCTATGTTTTTCGTTGCAAAATGCGTCATGACTTTTCCGACAACCCAATAGTTCATAACCAAGTAGAGTGGGGAGCACATAGAAGGGAGGGACGTGCTCCCCGTGCAATCTCCTGTGTGGGCACAGGCACCCCCAGAACCCGCAGTGCGTGTGCCCCCAGCACCACACACACACACACACACACACACACACACACGCACGCACACACACGCACACACGCGGCCCAGCCTTCTCTCTTCTGTCACTGCATTCTGAGCCCAGGCACAATCTGAGACATTGAGCTGGGGGTCTCCAGACAAATAAGACCCTTCGGCCCACCAGGAAAACCCCCAATGAGGCAGAGGTTCCTGGAAGGGAGCCAGGACACGAAGGGACAGCCGTGCAAACCCAGCCCGTGGAGTCCCCACACCTACAGAAGGTGCCCTCTTCAAACTGCATGTGTAGTGGCCTCTGCCACCCCCTCAAGTCCACTGTCACACTGTTCCCCGTTGGAAGCCCCAGGAGGCGAACTCCACAGGCTGCAGCAGCTGGTCCCGCCTTCAGGCTCTCCGCGGGAGTCAGCCAGCCTGAGGGAGCAGTGCAGCGAGGGCAGGGTTCAAGGTGAGGGGGGCAAGGGGAGCAGGAGAGGGCACAGAGGAGTCTCCCCTCCAGCTACAGGCCTCCCTGGGGGCCAGGAACCCACACGTCCCCTTGCTCCTCTGTCCTGGAGGTGCTGTGACTCTCCGGCATTGCTATGCCCATGGTGTGTCACCATCCCTGTGGGAGCCCCTCACCCTTTCCAATGACCCTAGTTGTCCCCGGAAGACCCCAGCTGCCACTGCCTCTGCTCCATCAGTTGATGTTCACACACAGCCCCACACACACCACCTCGCATGACACGCGTCACGGGGGAGGAGGCGGAGTCCGTACCCGAAGGCCAGGTTTCCCGGGCAGGCCGTCCTCTCCTCTGTCGCCGGGCTCCCCCTGTAAGGAGCACAAAGTCCAGTCAACAGGGCTGCCAGGCTGGCGGGGGGCGGGGAGGCATACAGAGGGTAGTGCCAGGTGGGTAAGGAAGAGAACCACGTGTGCTTTGGTGGTGCTAACTGTCATTCTGCGTGACCACAATGTCCCAAAATATAATAGCAGCTCATACAGCCTCCCAGGCTCTATATGCGATTACCACTTTCGATTAATTTCATAAGAACGTAATTGAGTAGAAATGGTTCTCCTGTCTTACTGAGCGGTTCAGAGCATGGAAGGTATTCCACGAATGTTTTTCGAAGACAAAGTACTGACTTAGCCCTTATCCTTTGTCTGGAAAATTAAGGGAAAAGGGTGAAGAATATTTACATTAAATGCCCATGAAATTAAGTTAAATTCATGCTTATTCTGTATTTGGTCATTAAAGAACCGAGCGTCTAAATCTGTTTATTGAAAAGGACGCTAAATTTTCCCATAAATCGAAAAGCTGCCTTTCAAGGACGGTTGACCTGCGTACTTGGGTATATGTTTGCTGTAAAAGAATCAAGTTCATTTGTTAAAATGTGTGTTGTATTGTTTTGTAATTGTTCATTCACAGTGCATAAACCATGAATTCGCTTCCTGATTTTACGATTTTTTAACCTGATTCTTTTTTTAATGATCCTACTATAAGCTCCAACAGAATACTTTTAAAATTGAAATCCCTTCTTATGTTATTAAGAGTCTCTGAAAGTTTTTCTTCCTTGCAAATAAAATAAATACACATTTCTAACAGGTGAATTTGAAAGCCCAAGCCTTCCAAACCTTCCCCCGTTACCTACCTAGAAATAAAGACCTTGCCATATCTGACCTTGTAAACCCTAACAATTCTGAGCCCTGACCCACGGCTCTGTAATCGACTTAATTCAGACTTCCCCCACAATCAAAAATCTCTTTTCTGCTGTGTTTTGGGTTCCCAAGCCCGTGCGGCCCCCGACAGTACCAACCTTGGGTCCTGGCAGGCCCGGGGGTCCGCTCAGCCCACGCTCTCCAGGTGGCCCCTGGGAAAGAGGGAGGAAGACGGACAGGGGTGAAAGGTGCACTCGGGACAGCACCGCACCTGGTGTTTCTATAGGCAGGAGCTGGTTCTGTGGGCAGCTATGGCCGGCACCGGCCCTCCCGTCCTTGGCAGAGGCCACCCTGCCCAGAGTGCCATGGTCTCTGGGACCAGGCTCTGCTTACGCATTCCTCTGGACGATGCCCAGTTTCCAGCGCCCTGGACATGTGTGGTGGGCAGGAGGGGGTGGGAGGCTCGGCTGAGTCTGGCGCTGATGGTCTGTTTGTACGCCCGGCTTCCAAGAAGCCCCAGGGGGAGCACTGGCCACTGACTGCCACCCTCTCCTCTCCTCAGTCTCTCTGCTGTCACTTTTTTGTCTCCCACTGGCATGAATCAAACGTGCCCTTCATTTCTGATAATGACACTCAGGACTCCGTGTCCCTGGTCCAATACCTCCCGCCATCCCCTCCCCCACGACACCACAAGGACAGGTGCTGCGGCAGCTGTTTTCAGGGAAGGAACGCAAGCTCCGAAACACTGAGTGACTTGCTCCAGGTCCCACGGCGAGTCACAGGACCCACAGGTTTACACCCAGGCCTCCGGGCTCCACCGCTGGGCCCCTTCCCCTCCCCCAGGGCCACTCTCCCTTGTGCTTTTCTCTGCACCTTCAATGGCAGATGCCCCGTGACAGACACAAGGGAACTCTTTCCCCCAACAGAAGAGCTCACACGTCACTGCAGCTCTGAGTGCTGTTCAAGTTACTGTTGTCTTATAAACCCTGTGGTTCTTCTGCCCAGAGATGCCCCCGCCATTGCAGTTGACTGCGGGTTCCGGGTTAGGGTCCGATCACCTGAGAGTGTGTGTCACGGCCCTGGATTCGTGTCCGATACCCTCCGCATTTGGCAGAGCTTACAGCGCTGGCACTCAGCACCACAGTCCTGTCTCCTGGGTGCCTCCGCTACAGCCACCCGCGGACGTGTGGTCGCTGACCAGGGCACAACTGCTGTGTGCTACGCTCAGACCTCCCTCCGTCCCCCTTGCTCCTGGTCTGGGTCTTCCTCTAGGAATCTGGGTTCCACAGGCTTCCCCAAGCCTTGGCCTCCTCAGCCCCGATGCCCCCGCCACAAAAAATAACAGTTATCAGGAAACCCCTTCCAGTGGAGCAGAGGCCCCCCTGAGGGCCATCAACAGGTCCAGATGGCCCCCCACGGCCACATGGTATCAGGCTCACAGGCCACGCCTGTCCTGCCCTGAGGAGCTACCGGCCAAAAGCGTGGGAAAACCACTCAGCGTTCCTGTGCACCCACCACGTGCAGAGACGACATTGGCTGAGCCCCCACCCTCAGGACTTAAAAGGAATGAAAAGGCCCCAGGGAGTGAGGAGACATATCAGGTGATGACAGCAAAGGACTCTGGGATTTTCCTTTGGTGACAAGAGCGAGGGTGGGCGGGGCCTGGGGAGAGGGGACCCCATTGCCTCTGTGGAGTGGCCTGTCAGGAAGCAGACCCAGGATTCAGGGCACGGGGAAGGCACCGCAGGAGGAAGAAGGCAGGCTGAGCTCCGGGCCGTGGCCCCACTGCCAGGGAGAAAAGGGCGCAGAGTCCCCCTCACCCCCCAGGAAGCAGCCCTAGCTGGAAGGGCCCCGCTGCCAGGGAGAAAAGGGCGCAGAGTCCCCCTCACCCCCCAGGAAGCAGCCCTAGCTGGAAGGGCCCCGCCGTCCCCGACATGGAACATTGGCAACGGGGGACAGTGCAGGCAGGGTGCTCCAAGACACTCACCGCCGGCCCGGGGTGCCCAGGTTTTCCCGGGAAGCCGATCTCGCCAGGTAAACCCTGAAAAGGGAACACACGGGGTGTCAGTCTGACCGCTGCCCAGGTGCTTCGTCCTGCCGCCTTTCCTGGCCCAGGGCCCAGGCCTCTGGCTCTGATGCGGACACCAGGGTGGCCATACCTCAGGGGCATCTGGCCGTCCTTAGTGCAGGCCACCGTGAAACGGGGAGATGTCACACCTCTAACGTGGGCAAGTCCAGGGCTTGTCTGGTCTACAGTCAGGGGCAGCCACCACCACATTCATTCCTACCTGGTGGGGCAGGTGGAACCGCCTTGCTCTGCAGGGTGATTCCTGGGTCTGCCCCACCCAGTGGGCTTGGGGGTGGGGTTCCTCTCCACCATCACCCTCCCAGCAGGACTTTCCCAGCTGCACCTGAAGTGCGGGAAGGGAAATGTTGACTGACACCTACCCTGACTGTCTTTTCCCTCAGGGTCAAGTCACAGACTCCAAAAGGCCCCGAATGGCCAGCCCCACAGTAACGTACCTCCTTCGACTCCCGTCTAGACGCAGCCAACCAATGGGCTACCTGAGCTCCGGTGATATTTCTAATCTCAGGGGTTCAAGCACTGGAGAGCCCAGAGGCCTGGGGTGGCTGCAGGTGGGGTCCTTCTGTTTATGCCTCTGCTCTGGTCTCAGACAAAAAGCACACAGGTAGCGACACACGACCATGTTCCTGGCTCCCACAGGCCATGAAGCCGCCATCTACGTGCTCTCGTAAGAGAAAATCAAAGCCAGCCTTACCGGGGGGCCTCCGGGTCCAGGGGGGCCTGCGCTGCCAGGTGGTCCTGGGGGGCCCTGTAAAGAAGGAGCATACAGTGGGTTACAACGTGCTTGGAGCCGCCTCTGGGTGTCCTCTAAGCGAGGAGGCGGGGCGGGAACACAGTCACGGGGTGGGGCTTGATTTGTAATGCCTTACTTTTTAAGCAAAGCAGAGCAAAAGCAAGAAGAAAAGATCAGACATAAAATTTACAAAATGTTAACATAGGATGGAAATATAACCGTTGGTTTTACTATCAACTCTGCTGTCTGTTAACTATTTGAGCATTTAAAGTGAAGGCATTTGTATGTGTGCGTACGTGTGCACATATACACACCGTGGGCTAACCCACCAACGAAGAGCTTCTGGAACAGCCGCTCCCGAACTGTAGTCAACATCGAATCCCCCGAGTGAATAACACGGTGTCTCTCAGCACGGGGACCTGTCCACAGGTCCCATCTCCACCCCCACCCCATCACTGCCATCACGGGCCCCACACGCGCTCTAGGAGACGCACCCCTGGCCCCAGTGTGCTCAGCTCTCTCTCCAGATATGCCCACCTCCCTCCCCCGCCTGCCTTCTCAGATGTCTCCACCTCTGAAATTGTCTCCAATTCCCCAGGCGAATGAATCACACCCTCCTCCAAGCTCAAGGCCAGTGTGTAATAACTGTGTTCATCTAACCCCCGTGCCCTTGTCCCCTCCGCATCTCACACAGTGACAACCCCAGGGCTTGGTATACAGCAGGGGCTCAATAAATGTTTGAACAAGTCGGCTGAACGGAACAGAGAGCTAAGGGAAGGGCTGTGCATTCAGAGAATATCACATCACCACTAGAGGGCGACAAATACTTAAAAAAAACACACACACCAAAAAAACGGTAAAGGAGCCGCTTCCGTGGACAGTTCCCCTTTTCTCCCTCTGGGGGCACCCGTGAGTCAACAATGGACTCGGCAAGGGACCATTGGCTGAACCGAACTTTTTGGTGGCATCTGGGCCCAGTTTTCTCTGTGGCTCGCTCAGTCCTGGTGAGTCTTTTGGGGGCCGCATCTACTTTCGTTGGGAGACATCTGCTTGGAGCTAGAGCCACTGAGGCTCCGGACAGAGCTGGACAGTGGCAGGGGCGAGTACCAATGCAGGGTCCCCCCACTGGATGAGGACGGGGGCAGGGCACCAAAGGTGGCTCCTGGCCTCCTTTTGTCACTCAGCCTTACTCCGCTCACGCGCTGCTCCAACAGCCCTGCAGGCAACCCAGGGCCCACCCCTCCAGCAGGTGTGGTCTAGGGGGGGTCTGTTTTTACTGCAAGGTGACCTGAGGTTCTCACAGCACCCTCAGCCCCAGAGCTTGTCCGAGGCCCCTTCTCACCACACGCAGCACTCTCTCTCCGCTGGCAATTTGGGCTCGATTTGTTTTATTCCCTCCTTATATTTCCAGGGATTCTGATGGCCTCTGGGATCTTTTGTGCTGTCTCGAAGTGATTGTTCCAGGAAGCCGGCCTCCGAGCCAGCTCATTACCCTGAACTCGCTTGCCCTCCCTCCTTCATGTCTTGCAAACACCCCTGCAGGCAGCTGCTGCTGTTTGCTTGTTCCGGAGCCTCACAGCATGTGACAGCAGACGGACCTTTCATCGTCATCCACTGGAAGTTAAGCCTCGCTATTTGACAGTAATGAAAACTGAGGTCCAGAGAGGGTAAGGGGCCCACCTGGGGTCACACAGCCATCATGCGCAGTGGATGCTGAACGGCTGGTCCCCTCCGGGACCACATGGAGATGCTGTCCTAATTACAGGGACACAGGCCCCTTCTTTGGTCTCACACGTCTCGGACAAGTCCAAGGGGACAGTGGCTTTGGAAAGAATCCCCAGGTGAGTCTGGAAAGCCACGAGGTCTGAGAATTACCCGTCTTGACCAACTAGGTCTATGTACCCCTCTAACTGCCGTCAGCACTGATGACAATAGTACAAGCACAATGACACGAGAAGGAATTCATGATGGGAGGGACCAGGGAGCACAGACACGGGGAAGGGCGAGGGAACAGCGCCCCTCTGCTTCGTGTCGACTCTGCACTTTCGCTCACGTTAGTCCCACGCGGATCCCGTGAGGCAGGGCTTCCCCAGCCCATTGTACAGACGAAGAACTAGAGCTTGGCGGACCTGCGCACAAGGCAAGCTCAGGCTGCTGGCGTTTCCTGGAGATAACCAGGAAATCCAGATTCTTAGGCATATTCTTTCATTTTTTAAAAATCCATCTTGCCAACCATTTTGAGCATTAAACAACAGCAACAAAAACAGCTATGCAACCAAATAAAACGTATCTGTGGACCAGTTAAGGTGTTCGGGTTTGTGACCTTTCAGTCTGTGGCTTTCAGTCTCTAAGGTGGACAAACTGCCAACAGGTGTGGGAGATGGTCCCACTCAGAGAAGACAACCAGGGGTCCCACTCAGAGGATGACAACAGGGAGGCCCAGGGTCTGGGAATGCTGCTGTCACAGAGGCTCAACAGAGCAGGACACAATGACAGTGGTGGCCCCCAGCGGCCAGGCAGGGTGGGGACGCCCCGTCAAGGTCCCCAGTGAACTCTAAGCAAGACTCGGACTAGCATCAAGCTTCCTGTCTCTGACCCTTAGCTGTGCACAATATTACATGGACCACAGAAGTGTCTGTCCGATGGGGCCGGGGCCCTTTCCTCCTGCTTTCAAGGGAAGAGAGCTACAGGGAGAGGCAGATGTGGCCTTTGGTCCTTAATGCAATGTCCCTGGTCCCTGGAGAAGTTACTCCTTGAGACCCATGGTGGTGGGAGACAAAGCTCCCCCCTCCAGCCAATGCTGGGCCCCTGCTATGTCCCCCTGGGATCTCCAGGTGACCTGTCCTTCCCTCCAGGAGACTGCGGTCTGGCTGAATGAAAAAAAACACATGCCCCGCGGCCTCGTGGGGAGAGCAGGGGGCTCAGCTCAGCATCAGAGGCAGGGTAGCCGCCAGGCAGCCGTGTTAGGATGGGGAACACCGTAGGAGCAGCCGTCTGGAGCAGGGATGGGCATCGTGGTTCCTTTGGAGAACGTTCAGTGTTTGGTGGGCGTGCGGCTCCCGGCAAGTTACGGAGGAGGCTGGAGCTCAGGCAGAGGTGTGGGGTGAGGACTGAGATCTGTCATCACTGGTCCACGGACAGCTGTGTCGCCACGGCCCTACACGAGGCCATGAGACGGCGGTGTTGGAGCCCGCGGGCTCTTCCCTGGGGTCCCTTAGAACGTGGACAGATTGGGACAGGTGGCAAAGCAGAGCCAGATACAGCAGCTGGCGTGTAGAAGGAAAAGGAGGTGTCTGAGCTCTCAGAAACCCGGAGAAAGAAGTGTGTGAAGAAGGAAGAAAAGTGATCATTTGAGAAGTGGGGAGTCGGCCTCCTCCTTGGGAAGTTGCCGGGCGGCAGTGCATGGAGAGGAGCTGTTTCCGGGGCGCGTGGAGAAGGGTGCAGACGGGGTGGTGAGCTGGGGAGAGATGGAGGGGCGCGTGAGGAGGCTGAGCCTGGGAGCACAGGTGACCCTGAAAGGTTCTGCTGTGAAGGGAACAGAGAAATCAGGCAGCGGCTGGACGGGCAGTGGCTGAAGCGAGTTCCTGTGTCATGTGTGGGCACCCAGGGAGGGTGCCCCAGGCTGGCAAAGTCCTTTAGGAGGAAGGGAGGGCGGTCCCACAGCACAAGCGGAGGAATGGGTACCAGGCAGAGCAGGGAACTTCTTCCAGTGGAGTCAGAGGAAGTCCCCAGATGCAGGCAACAGGCCATGAAGGCAGCTGCAGGGAGAGGTGGCTCTCGTGTGCTTCCGCCATCTCCTCTGGGAAGTGCAGGCCAGGCCAGGCCCGCAGAGGGTGCTGGGAGCTAAACAGGCCAGAGTGAGAACTGGCCGTCGCTGAGGGCAGGAAGGCATGGGGCTGCCCCTCAGGGTTGCGTCTGCACTGACAATTGGTCTGTGACCGTGAGCTGGCGGAGAGTTAAGTCAGCAGGTGACCTGACTTTCCCTGGCGACATTCGGGGACATCTTGGGCCCTCCAGGGGCCTGTCTCCCAGGAAGGGCGGCATAGGAGTGTATGCACAGAGAGAGGGTGCAGAGCTTAAGGACCAGCAAGCACCCCAGTCTTACCGCACATGGGAGAAAGCGGACACCATGGCGGGGTGAGACCCGGGCGGAAGACGTGCCAGAGGTGGCCAATGACGCTAATGGACTTGTCCTGGTCCCACGTCCAGTTCTTTCTACAGGAACCCAAGCCACCTCAGTGATCTAATCTCAAAACTATGTGCAGGGTGGATGGTATCAGAACTTCCTCCAGGGATCACAGTGTGAATTCTGGCCTCCTACGGGATTCTGTTTATTTCTTGTAGACCATAGGCTCCACGAGAGCAGGAACCACAGCTGACTTTGCATGTTACTGAACCGGAGCCCCAGCCCAGGCCGGGTACACGGGATGCCCTCCACGAACAGCTGCTGAGTCACAGAGGAAGCATCACCTCCAAGGCCACTCACTTCATCTCTTTAGGCAACCGAGGTAGCAGTGGATGCCTTTGACCTTCACAGGGTTTCTGACCAAGGGCAAAATTCCCCATCTGCTATCTTAGCATTTCAACGAAAGGTGATAAATTAGAAGGTTGTTTTAAACTAGAACTATTTGACTATTAATAGCTTTAGTAGAGGTAGCAATGATGGCACAAACAGACGGAAAAACAGGGCTTTGCTTTCAGATGGCCTGGGTCAAATACTGGGCCACCTCATGCTACCTAAAGGGACCTAGGCAACGGATGTCACCGCTCAGTGCCTCAGTCTCCCCAACTGTAACAAAAGGTCGGAGGCCCCTTCCTCATGTCACTGCAGAATGCATTAAAGAAGGGGTACGAACTAAACCCCCACCCCCATGGGAGGCTTTCACAAATGTCACTTCAATCTCTTCTTTTGATCATTAATAGACATATCTAAATAACCAATTAATCTAATTAATGCATGACAAATTAGCCAATATTTAAATGTTAACAAAATAATGACTTTTAAAAATTATTACTAATGAAAACAGCAAGTAATGACTCTGTGTGTTAATTAACCAATCCGTCTAATTATTAACGAAACAACATTTGATCCTTCTAATACGACAGTGACCGAAGGGCCATTTCACATGATCAGTAATTACAAGGATGAGGCATAAATAACCAATTAACGTAATTATCATGGATAAAGGAACGGCAAAAATTTATTCCTAATAGCCACCTAGATCCAACGGGAGTAGATGTAAGAAGCGGGATGGACTCTGAAGATGCGTAAACGCCCTGCAGAAATTAGCACGGCCCTCACATTCCCAGCGTGGCTTCCTAACACACGCGTCTGGGGGGAGCTGTTCCTAATCTGTGAGCCCTCCCCCCAGACTGCGGCTCCTGGGGCAGAACCAGAAGGGCTGGCCCGCCGGCTGGTCTGTGTGTGGGATCCAGGCCGATCAGCCCACCTGGCCCTCCAGGGCCAGCCCCCCGCCTGGCTGCGTTCCCACCAATGCCAGGGGCTGCTGTCAGTCCAGGCAGCAGCACCACGCAGCACTGCCTTTGCAAACGCTTGACCCGACAAGACACCGATTTCCTTTCTTCCTAAAAGGCTGCCAGGATACAGAAGCCACCACCTACGACATCGTGAGTGTGCATATTTATCCTAGAACCTCCTGGCAGGGGAAATTTTTTGTCTTCAAAACGAGGCACCCAAAGCATCTTATAGGATGCCAGCTACCCTGGGGTGCCATTGCACCCCAGGCTGCTGGGCTGGCTCGTCCCATCACATACAAGCTCATTACACCCTGAGTTCAGTTTCTTTAGATTGTCAGTGGGATAAGCATTCTTTTCTCACAGGTGCTTATACAGAATAGACACAATTACATGTGAACGCTAACGAGCCTGTCTCACAGTAACAGAAAAACAAAAGACATGGCTCCTTTCCCTCTTCTCGTCAGAGCAGGAAACCGTAACTTAGATTCTGCCGGTATAGATAGAATCAACCTTGCCTTTCCAGGTCAGCACAGGGATGACCCCCTGGGCCCCGAGAGAGGCTGGCAACCCCTCTCCCAGAACGCAGCTCTGTCTACAAGTACATCTCCCTCTAATGTATGGCTCCTCCCGGCGTGGGGAAAGGCTGCTTAGATTTCACATCTGGCACATAGCAGGTACTGAAGAAATACTCGTTGAATCGATGAACAAATGAACACACACAGAGACGGCAAGCAGGGGCTAACCAGCGAGGCCAGGAAAGGCGGGTCTGCAGGTAAGTCAGGTAGAGCGAGTCTGGGGAGATGGGCAGACGCCCACCACACGGCGCTGCCTCTCAGTTCGGGTTTGTTTGGCTTGAACACAGCTTGGTGCCCATCGGGTAAGGATCGGATCCAGGGTGCCAGGGAGGGCATATGCACTGGGTATCACCTGGTTCTGAACCACTGGGGTCCCTGAACATAACAGGGTGCCCTACCTCTGACAAAGTCCCTGCTGTTGAAAGTCTGACCGTATTTATATCTACAGCATCCAGCTCAGTGCCTGGCAGTCAGTAAAGATTTGCAGAATGAAAATGACTCTAAAATTTAAAATGAAAGAAGGAACTATATTTCCCAAGGTGGCAAACAAAGGGGTTCTAGGGGAAGAAAAAAAAACTGCAGCTTAAAGTAATTTGCTGGAGCTACACGTTTGGTGAATTTCTGCAATACACAAGCTTAGCTTACTGGAAAGCAAGGTAAGAAAACCAATGCAGAAAGCATTCTGTTTCACTGTTGACATTGAAATGCCACAGTGAACGTGGACTCTTAAGAGGACCGTGAATTATGATTGATTTTATGGTCCCTTATCCCAGGCTCTGGCCCGACCCAAGTGTAAGGTGTCGAAATGAGGCCTGAGATCGCGAGCAAGGTGGCCATCATGCACCAGGATGCGTAGTATGGCAGCAGAAGCTGGTCTGGGAAGGGCAGTTGGCAGAGTTTCCTGGGGGAGCATTTCCCTGCCCACGCTTGACAGACAGAGGGCTGCCACCCCTAGAGCTGGGCGTGGGGACGGAGGTGTCCAAGGGCAGGCGGGCGCTGCAGCCGTGCGCAGCCTAGGGGGGAGCCTGTGGCCGGCTCTGGCACCCCTGCTCGCTCTCACCACCTCCAGGGGGACAGGGAGAGCACCTACCTGGGGTCTCACCACATGGTCACACCCCTGTCCTGTCTTCTCCCTACAGCACGAGCCGTCCTTTTCAATTAGCATTGTTATTCTTAACAAGGATGAGACGGAAGTCTGGAAGGGGAAGGAACTTGTCCAAGATGCCCCAGCAGGAATTGGGGGCTGGGATGTGACCTGTGTGCCGTCGCCTCACTGGTGATGCTCCCCAGGAATCATTCTACTGGTCCCTGGAAGGCTGGGGCAGGGTAACAGGGGACACGAATGCTGGAGGCGAGGGGAGAATGACGGGGAACTGAACACCAGGCCCACACTCAGGAGGCAGGGGCTCACAGCGCCGCAGCATTTACAAATCAGGGGAACGGAGGCAGCTGAGGGCCAAGGTCACCTGGGGAGCGAACGTGGCATCTGCTTAGCAGCTGGTGGCCCTGAGCGAGCCTCTGCATTTAGGGGTCTCACCCTTAATCTGTGAATTGGGGACAGTGACCCTGAGGGGGCCCATCTGACAGGGTAGCTGTGGGGGCCACAGGGGACCACCCGTGACGACACATGTGGAAGGGTGGAGGAGCGGGCAGAAGGGCCAAGTGCTGGGCCGGAGGACGTTATATCAGAGCTCAGTCCTGAAAGGCCGGGGACAGGGGGAGCTAGGGGACGGAGGTGGGTGGGCATCCGGGGGGCGAGACAGCGCCTGCCTGGGAAACGGCCTCTGCGATTGGGGCCTTGACCCCCCTCACTTTAAAAATGGGGAAGCGAGGGCCGGCCGAGTGGCTCAGTTGGTTAAGAGCTCACTCAAGAGGGCGAGCGCTGAGCAACAGGATCACCGGTTCGATTCCCGGCCTGAGCTGAGCTGCCATTGAGCTGCCAACAGGTGACAGGATGGCTCAGCTAAAAAAAAAAAAAAGGGGGGGGGAACTGAGGCCTGGAGAGGGGAAGGGACTTGGCCAATGTCACAGTCAATGTCAAATGTCAGAGTCTCTGGATGCTAGTGACTGTCATTTTTATTGTTCTGACCCCTTGGCCAAGCCCCTCCCAATTCTGACTTCACTGTCCAGCCCTCACATCCTCGGTGCTATGAACTCCAGTCACACCACAGACCTGTCCACTCCTGCACACGCGCTGTGTCCACTGCTGGCCCTGTGTCCCCGCAGAGCTGCACCCCTGCTCCTCCTGGCCATGCCTGGCTGGCTGCACACTGTCCATGGACCCCTGTACCTGGGTAACCCTCCCTGTGCCTCCACTGCTCCCCCCTTCATTACACTGGTCATCAAGGGCCGGCCGAGTGGCTCAGTTGGTTAAGAGCTCGCTCAAGAGTTTGAGCTCTGAGCAACAGCGGTTCGAGTCCAGCCCGAGCTGAGCAGCCACTGAGCTGCCAACAGGTAGCAGGATGGCTCAGCTAAAAAAAAAAAAAAAAGATTCCATTACACTGGTCATCACCTGTCTGCCCTCCTCTGGACTCAATTCCTCCAGGAGCCAGGAGACATGACAGTCAGGGAGGGAGAAAGGACAAATGACCCACTGAGCACTTTTTAATGCTTTGATGCGGTAGCCATGCAAGTCTCTGGTACCAACCTGAGAACTGCTCCCTGAGCACTTATTTAATCAGACAAAGCAGTGTTGCTACAAAAGAGTTAAAAGGTGGCGGTTACCTGCGGCCCCAGTGGTCCAGGGACTCCAGGTGGGCCCACGTCTCCTTTCTTCCCCTGCGTGCAGAAAAAGAAGGCACTGTTAGCAGCAGGCAGCTGGCGTGCAGGCGGCTCCCAGGTCCGGCCTGATCACATGTCTCGGTGGAAATTTCAGGCTTTATTTCTCAGTCTGGATGAACAGACTGCCCTCTGGGATGCCCTACATGGAATCAGTGTGGGATTGGGGGAAAGATTCAAGCTTTGGAGTCAGGGCGGTTCAGTTTTGGGTCCCAGCTCTGTCACCTAGGTGGCATTGGTCACACATGGCCCCGAACTCAAAAGGACCGGAAAGGTACAGCTGAAAGCAATCTCCTCCTTGTCCTGCCTCAGCCACTCAGGTCCTTGCCTTGAAGGCAACTAATCCTACCAGATGTTGGTGAACCTTTCCAGAGGCGTTTTATGTGTAGGCAAGTCACACACGCACATGTGCGCGCGCGCGCACACACACACACGCGCGCGCACGCACACTCTCTCTCTCCCCCTTTCTCTTTTTATTCTTGACAAACTGTAGCTTATTATTCAATCTGCTGATAAACTTTTCTGTAGTTTCACTTAATGATTTATCTTGAATTCGTCCTATGTCAGCGAGGAGAGCGGCTCCATTTTTTTTCACAGCCACAGAGATTCCACCGTAAAGATAAAATGTGATGCATTTCAACAGCACCCTATTCAGGACGAATGTCACTTGGGCCATTTCTGCTCTGCTGTTTGAATCCGTCTGTTGGCTTTATTTGAGGCTCCGGGTCTTCGGCTCCACAGGGGAGAAGTTGGGTTGAACTCAGGAAACACATGCTTAAGGAGCTTCTGGTCCTATATCCTGACAATCTCACCAGTCCCAACTCGCAGCTGTGGTCAGTGAGAGACACAGCTCTGCCGCCTTTACCTGTTTTTTCACCCAAACGCTCAATACACCCAAACGGGGACAACGTGGCGAGGCCACGGCCTCTGCCTGTAAGGGACTCGTTTCCCAGGGTGGCAGACGAGCGCGGTGCAATTACAACACGTCTGAAAAACACGGAGCAGAAGTGTGTGCATGGGCACCAGGAGCTCTCAGGTCTGCCTGGGGGTCTCGGGAAACGTTCTCGGGGGGTGAGGGGGGCTGTGCACTGAGGCGACGTTGGAAGAAGGAACAAGGCCTTCCCTGTGGGACACGCGGGCGCAGGGAGCAGAACAGGCAAGTGCTCAGAGGCAGAGGGGGGCAGGACACTGGCAACACCCTGTGGGGCCCAGGATGCGGAGCTGCAGGCCTGGGGCGAGGGGTGAGGCACATGGGATCAGCAGGACTCAGGAAGGACCTGAGTGCCCTGGACCGAGGGGAGCCACTCGAGGAGTTTCAGCAGCGTGGCCCAATCTGCGTGGACTCTGGAAGCAGCAGAAGTGGGGAGTGATGCGTGAGGCCGCTCACACCAGCGCTCCGTGCTCACGGGACCCATGCCAGCCGCTGGGCCTCCCGTCACGGCCCCTCTCCTGCGCCACTGCAGGGGCCTCCCAAACACTCACCCTGCACACGGCCCATGCACATCACTCCCCTGCACCCCCACAGGGCAGCCAGAATTATATTCTTAAGACCTGAAAAGGTCATATCTCCTCTGCTCATAGCATTGCAATGCTGCAGAACTCGGAGCAAAGCCCTAAACGGCCTCACACCTGCTTTCCATGGCCGCATTCCCCAACCTGCTGTTCTCATTTCCTTGTACTCTCGCCCTCCTCCACCTTGAACTTGCCAAACACTTTCCCGCCTCGAGGTCTTACCACTGGCTTTTCCTTCTGCCTGGAATGCTGGTTCCCCAGGTGTCCCCACGGATCACCCCTCATGTCAGTCTGGCCTCTCCTCAGATGCCCCGTTACCTGAATGTCTTCTCAGACCAGCCTAGTGAAACAGCACGCCCTGGGTCACACGGTCCCCTCACCCGGCTGTGCTACCCTTTGTGCCGCTATCAGATACACCATTGGTGCAGGTGTTGTCTACGGCGTCTGTGCCCCTGGGGGTTGGCAGCCTCCTGAAAACGGGGGCTGGTTCTGTCTTTGTTCACTGCTGTGTCCGTGGGCCCAGACCAGTACCTTCCTGCCACATGCCGGAGCCGCCCTACACCTCTGTGGGCTGGATAAATAAATGATCCCTTTGAGACCCGTGTGCTCCTGAGCCGTGGTGATGCAGCGGGGACAGCGGGAGACGTTAGACAGGAGCGATGTCAGGAAGGGAAGACACAACTTGGAGATTTACTGAGCTGCAGAGAGAGGGAGCTGGTCTGATTTAGGACCTTCTGGATCTGCACACCCGAGCTGTGGATCACATCAGCCTGGACGGTGCGGTGAGGTCTAGGTCAGAACGAACGTCTTGAGTTGTCAGGTGAAATTAAAAATGCGGTCACGGCCACTTCCAGAAGCGAGCTGGCCTGGGAGGCCTTTTGTCTCCGCTTCCACCTGAGCCTGCTCCCATGATGCCAACAGCCAGAGCGGACCACCGGAGAGCTAAGCGCTCCCAGCTCCCCTTCCTCAGGGAATAGGAGCCAGACAGCTTCAGTTTCCTGTCTGGACAGACACCCGCTCCACTAGCTTCCAGGTTATTCCAGAGTCGCCGGTCATTTACAAGGTGATTAACCATTTCTCTTAACATCACTGGAATGGCCTGGTGAATTGTCATCAGAATTCAGAACCCAGGCCACACAATTACTAATAAAACGCCACTCCGACTGGACGGGTGTCCGTCTCACTCTCTCACGTGACCCAGTCACCTTCTGAGGATTGTATGAGGTCGCAGCAGCTCTCCACATCCCTGGCAGGTTTGGGGGTCTTACGTAATGATGTTACTAACGCTCCATGAACACCTCAGCTGGTAGCGAAATTTGTGGAAAGCACGGAGTCAGGAGGTGCTCCCATGCCAGGGAAGTAAAAAAAAAAAAAAAACTGACCTGGAGAAGGAGAAATGGGGAAGGTAGTAGAGGCGCGCTGGGAAACAGAAAAATATCAAGAAATACACCCAGGGAAACACACATCTCAAGCATCAGGATTTCAGCAAGTAGGTGGCAAGAGTCCAGAGGAAGAAAAGTGTCGGACACATGTGATCATAGCAGTGTTGTACGGCTGCCTCTCCCCCAAGAAAGGCATAATCTTTCACTAATCACCCATGAGAGGGCATCACCCAGAGAAACACTGGGGTAACATGGGCCAGCTCCAGCACCTGTGCCCATAGCTCCTCCGGCCACAGCGTCCGGAGCTGCGCCCAGGACCTGCCTGCCTGCAGCCACGGCCGCAGGAGCCAACCCTTCTCACATTCCCAATGTTTCCCCTCCAGGCCCTTCGGGGCCAACCAGTGCTCGCAGGTCAGTCTTCCTAAAGGATGAGAGAGGCCCTGTCCAAGTTACTTTCCACCGCTAAAACGGTCAGAGGCCCCTCCGTATCTATTGGAAGTTGCCAGACTCCGTGATTCTAACACGCCTTTTTAGGTCAGTGTCCAGTGTCCAAGTTCCCACTCCCTAAGCAACAGCTCAAACAGGCTGCTTAGCTTGGCCCCAAAGACCACCCCTCGCCCCCGTTTAGGACTTTTGCTTCAGTGGCTCTGCCACATCGCTTCCTCTGTCTGTAACACCTTCTTCGCTCCGTCTCAACTGGTCAAAATCACATCCCAGTCACCGCCACCTGTTCCAGGGAGCACCAGCAATAAGATGTGACAAAAACATATTTGAGACAAATTCCCAAGTGCTACCCAAAAGCTAATGAGTTAGAATTTCAGGGGTGAGGTATGAAGGCCCAAGTATGCAGTTTTGAGGACCTGGCCACTCACTGCGTTCAAAGAAATTGCGCCATGTGCTGTTCCCCCACCCCTTTCCTCTACAGCTCTGTAACGAAAGACGTTCTAAATCTAAGGGAGACGGGGACGGGCAAGCCACTAAACTTGCTGAGCCTTAAGTTTCCTCACGCGGAAAATTATAATCATTGTAATTACCTGAAAAGATAGTGGCGGAAGAAATAATTCAATATTTGAGGAAGCGATGTAGAAGGCATAATAAAGCAGCGAATGCAACAGATGATTATGAGAAAGAGGAGGAAGGTGACAGTGATAAGAATGAAGCAGAAATGGTAACGGCAGGATTCTAGCGCCTTTGAGTCCCCGTGGTGCGCGAGAGACCACGTCTAGCAGATCTGGTTTCAAAACTGCTACCTGCCAGCAGTGCCATGGCGATTAAATGAGTAATGCCCACAAAATGCTTAGCATGGGATCTGACATCAGGGGACACATACTAGTAATGGTAGTAGTGTTAGTGACGGTGATGGTGATGGTGATGATGATGGCGGTGATGAGGGTGATGGTGGCACTGGTGCTGGTGATGGTGGTGATGAGGGTGATGGTGATGGTGTTGGTGGCAGCGGTAATATGGTGGTAGTGATGGTGGGGATGGTGATGAGGGTGGGGATGGTGATGAGGGGGATGGTGGCGCTGGTGGTGGTGCACGTGGTGAAGGCTGTAGCTCTAATAGTAGATGTAGCAGCAGTTATTTAACCTCTGCATTTTAGACCCATAGTTGGCTGTGGGGATTTGAGAAGTGCTGGCCAGAGCAAGTTTTGCAGCCATAAAGAATGATTTTACTAACATTAAGCTTGTGTCTTGTCATTTTTCTTTTCTTGTCTTTTAAATTGCTACCCAACACAATATCTGGAATAAGTGTTTGTAATTTATCATGAAGGCAGATAATTCAAGCCATTCTGAATGTCAGGATGCTGAGCAGGACTGATATTTCCAACACTGCCTGCGCATGGGTAAGGGGGAGGCCTATAAATTCAGAACAGCAGTTCCTGCCCAGCCAGGACGAGTTAACACAGCCATGTGAGGGGCCCTTAACAGATAAAAGGATTGCTTGTGCAAGTGATTCTAATATGTGCCGTATGGTCTTTTGCTCAGTTCCTGTTCTCCATGCCTCCAAATGTCAAACATGATTATTTTCTACTGGTTAGAGCCGAAACCAGGTGCTGTCCTCATATAAACCCTGGCTCCATGCCACGAAATGAATCAAACAGTAGCCCAGGATCCAAACAATGCTGTTACCATCTGGTAGAGCAGGGAAAAGCAAGCAGAAAAGGCTTTAAAAATTATAAAACAAAGCAAATTCAACCCAGATTGCCACTGACAAAAGACCGTCCATGTTCTCTCCTTAAATCTACTAGAAGTCAGAGCTGATGGACCCGAAAGCTTCCAGCAATATGAGACCCTCAGCTTCCAGGGCAGCAGCCGGAGATGAAAGCCATGGGTGCCCAGTGCATCCTCAGTACAGGCGCTGTCACTTATGAAGGGGTCCTGGGTATTTCCGGGCATCCACAGCAAGGACTGTTACTGTCCTATTGAAAATTGTGGTGTGTACGTGAACACACACACCACACACACACACACACACACACACACACACACACACACACACACACCATCCTAAAGCAAACACAGTGAAGGGTGTGGAGCCGGGCAGACTTGAGTGTTAATCCTTGCCCCACCATTTATAATGTGTGTGGCACCGGGTAATTGGGTTTATACCTTCAAGTCTTGGCTTTCTCATTTGCAGAAGGGGATTAAATTGCCACCCCTCATAGGATCCTTGTGAAAACTAAGTGAGAAACACGAGTGCAAACCGTTTCCTAGCTAAGACCTTGCTCGGCACTGACTGGCCACTTATTTCTTTCGTATCTTATTTTAGTCCAATCCCAGCACGGAAGGGTTCTGTTCTAAAACTGTGTTCTTAAAGGAGCTGACACGATCAGGCACACCGTGAGACATTTGGGGATCACTCTGTTTTTAGGGGAAAGGGGAGCGCCATATATGATAGGGACACTTCTTCAGTTCTCACCAATTGTCGAGAGAGGAGAGAAACCAGAAGATGTTAAGAAAACAACGAAAGGAACCACAGAGATTGTCACTGGCTTGTGGGAAGGGGAGGGACAAAGCCCTGAGTGGCCTTGAGCAGGCAGATCATTTAATCTTTCTGGGCATTAAATTTCTCACTGCCTAACTCAGGAACGCCTTCCATCGTGATGACTGTATAGTTCAGACATTCCAGGTTTTATATTACGTTTCAGTGCCGGACAACGCACACGGGGATGCAACGTACAGAACAGGGAATATGATCAATAATATTGTAACAAGGGTGTATGGAGCCAGGTGGGTACTAGACTTATCGGGGGAATCACTTCGTAAGTTATATAAATGTCTAACCACTATGTTGTACACCTGAAACGAATATCATATTGAATATCGAGTGTAATTGAAAACATTTAAAAAAAATTAAAATAAGTGCCTGACAACATAGACTTCTCTTAAACAAAAAGTTTTTGTTTTTTTCCCTTTTCGGTCCAGAGGAAGGAAGGAGATATCGAGGCTGACTATCTAAAGCAAAGGAAAGGAAAGTAAAAGCAATGACACAAAAGGGCCAGGCCCTCTTCTTTAAAATTGGACATCTCCAGTCAGAGGCCAGAGCCCAGGTGACCAGAGGCCCAGGTCTGGGTCCTGTCCTTGTCCTCACACCACCTGACTGTGTCAGCCACCCAGGGAGCAGCGTTCGTGTGTGTCGTTCACTCTTGCACATTAATTGTGTTAGAGGCTCATTAGCGCCATTACCAATGTATGCATATTTACACTTATAGACATTATGTTTATATGTTTTATGAGTGCACAAACTAGGTATGTTTGATACGTGTGAGGTGCTCTGCTAGATGCTGCAGACACAGAACTAAAGAACGTTCTCACAGGCTTACATTCTAGTGGAGAAAACAAAACTAAATTCTCAGATAAGAAGAACGTCAGGTAAGCCCTCTACAGGAAATTAAAATAGGCCAGTGTTGGGGTGACAAGGACATCATCTTGGGGCGGATGATTAGGGCCCCAGGATGAGGGCGTGACCAAATTGTTTTGGGAAAACGCCCTTCTGGAAGCTTCTGAGTGTTCAAGTGCCTCAGCGGCCTTGAGGGAAGGCTGGTTCTACTGTGGAACACTCTGGCTTCAGCAGGAGCGGTAGCACTGCCCGCGTCAGCTAAAATGATAGCGCTCCCCCAACAACCCCGCCTAACGCCCAGCTCAGACAAGCAGGAGGAAATAAGGACCTCAGACAGAAACCCAGCACCTGCCCCCCCTTAGTCTAAGGCGGGGAGCCCAGCCAGGCAACCACTGCCTAACGTCGTCCAGCAGGGGGCAGCGTGCGTCTCCCACAGCTCCACCGCGTAGTGCACGGGGTGCCAGGCTCCTGACGTCCCCTTTCACTGTGTCCTTGTGGAAAAACACCCGCTTTCCAAATGAACGTGTGACCTGGCCGGGGATTACACTGTCTGCCTGTTGCTAATCTCTAAAATAAAGGGCCCACGTTGCTTTCCCCACCCAGTACTTTAGCCTCAGACTCCCAGTACCCAGATCCCTGTGGCTTGTCAGTGTCTTGTCTCTTCCCTTGTCCCAGCCTGAGTGTGTGCAGTGACATTAAGGAACTCTTCAGAGCAACGGTTCAGTCGAAATTGATGAGGAAGAAATGACAGGCCACCTTGAGGCAAGGAGAGAGAGACTTTTTTGACTAAGTCATTCTGTCTTGGTTTTCCCGGCTCAGCCAGAGGCTGGCTGAACAGGACGCGGCTTCTGCGCCCACACCAACATCAGATCTGTCTCTGCTCTGTGTTGCCAGAGGTGCAGCCCCTGAGCTGGCAACATTCACCGGCTGGAACTCAGCCTGAGCCAGAGAACTATCAGTGACGCTGCGAGGCCACACTGGTCATCGTCCCCATTAACTAGAGGGACAGGGCAAGAGAGGGCCCTCCTGGTGTCCAGTGCCCCTGATCAGCACTCCCCTCGCCCTGCCTGGTGGCTCCTGGCTCACTCTGCCTGACAGGCCTGGGTCTTCAGGGGCCTGAGCCCTGCACTTTTCTGCGTCTCCGCCGCCTGGTCCAGCATGGACGCTCCTCTAGCCCCTGCCCCTGCGCTAGGCTACCGCCCCTTCTCTTTTGGTCACTGTGGTCACCTCCTAATGGGTCTGTTCACACAGTGGCCAGATGGGTGCCTTTAGAATGTAAGCCAGGCCACGCCACTTCTGTACCCCAAATCCAGCCGCGAACAAACTGTATGAGACAGGGGCAGTCTGAACATAGATGCATACGGGGTGAAACTTTTCCATAGATTTAGTTGGGATGATGGTGTTATGTTTTGTTTTGTTTTGTTTTCCTTTTACCTTTCCTTATCTTTCAGAGAGACATACTGAAATACTTAGAGACACAGTGAAGTGACGGCGTTTGGGATTGCTTCAAACTATCCCAGTGGCACGTGGAGGTGGGCGCTGGTATGAATTAAACAAACTGGCCATTAACCTGATAAGTGTTGAGATGGATTTGTGGTATATGGGGTTCATTTCTACTTTTATTATTTATTTATCTACTTTTATTCTTTATTATTTATTTATTTATTATTTTATTTATTATTTATCTACTATTATTTCTACTTTTATTTATGTTTAATCTTTCTCTTATGGAAACAAATTCCCAGTTTCCCTGACTTCATCTCCTCTTTTTTGCTCCTTGCTTGCTAAGGTCTCCCTGCTCAAACACACCCATGTCGCATTGTCTATTTAAATGTTAATTATTATGTTTCTTTTCCCTTGCCTGCCGGAATGTAAACATCAGGGATCTTTATTCTTCTCACTGAAGGATCCCACTCGCCTAGAATAATGCCCAGCACCCTGCAGACACTGAAGAAATGTGTGTTGAATGGATGAATTTGTGGAAGGAAGGAGAGAGAAGAGAGGAAGCAAGGATGTGAGAAGGGCCAGGACAAGAAAAATAGCGGATAAGAAGGGAAAAGAGAAACATAGAAGGAACAGGGAGAGGGACTGTGCAGGGCCCCAGCATGATGACAGCCGAGCTTAAACCAGAGGCATATCCACAGCCCTTTACACGGACGGGCTGGAGAGACCCCATAAAAGCTGGTGGCTGACAGGCAGGATGTCCTCCCCAGGGGCCACTTCCTGTACCTGCACGACTCTCTTCGGCACCCCCCTCAACTCCTGCTGAAATCTGCTCAAACGCCACCTTCCCTGTCCCCAGCCCCACCCCCTCTCTCAGCGTGCTCCCCTCAAGCTGAGATCCCTGTCTCCTCTGAGCACCCACAGTCTGTATTCGTCCCCACTGAGGAATCTGGGTTAGCTGCTCCTGGGTCTCAAGTGCCCCGGGCTGTGAGCTCCTGGAGGTTGAGATCTTAATAGCTAGAGATTCCAGAAGCATTTAGCCAAGTGCCTGTGTGTCCTAAGAGCACAACCTGAGCTTTGTCGACAGACTGACACACAGAAGGAACAAAGGGAGGAGAGAAAAAGTCAGGCTCAGAGACACACAGCCCTAGGGCAGCATCCCTGAGAGGCCTCTGGTGGCCGCGGTCTATCAGAGCCCGCCCCTTGCTTGTTGAAAAGCTGGGTGGTGAGCACTTCCTTAGGGGTCGGTAGCTCCATGGACACCACTCCTTTCCCTGGCCTCCCCTCCGCGCCACCCTGGTTACTTCTCTGGGTTTGCTTGTTTTATTCCTCAAGTCTCCAGGCTTCGTGCTTTTGTCCAAGGCCTCTGGCCAGTGTCACGGTTAGACCAGGCCAAGCTCCCACTGCACAGTGGCTGGTATTACTCTTACGGATAAAAGGCGCTTCTGGGGTGACAACAGCTGAGCCCTGGAGAACACATGGATACTTCTCAGGAGGCCAAGATCATGACCAAGGAAGTGTGGGCCTCGACAAGCAAGTTCCAAGCAAGATGGGTCCCATCCCCTCCTCAGTAAGACTCAATCAAATGAAGATGTAGATTAGGGAGAAAGAAAACAACCCTTCACAGTCATCTTTGCATCAAGAGTTCCACTCGCCATCTAATACCACATTAGGGAAAGTAACGCGACAGTTCAAGGCAAGATTGAAATTGGGTTCACCTGCACATCAATTACAGCATGCACAAAGATTGCTGTTTCTTCAAAAGGCTGGCATTGAGCTTGTGGGGAAAATAAGGAAAGGCAGTTTACTTACTCGGAGACCTGGCAGACCGGCCGGTCCATTCTTGCCTTCTGGACCCGTCAGACCCTTTAGGAGGGGGAGAGAGGAAAAACAGAGATGATGGTAACTGCAGAGCTTGCCGTCACAGGTGCCCTCTCACACTCACCGGACAGGAAAATGCTGTCCCAGTGGGGACACTGGGAGATCAGGAGGGAAAAACAACTTCCCATCCCCTCAAGCTGCAACATTTGACAACACGAGCACCTACCTGACCTAACGAAGTACGCTTAACCACCAAGATGTGGGCAACCCCACTCACATGTTTCATGAGCGCAGCGAGGATCAACGCCTCGCACTCGTGCTTTGCTAAAGCGCACACAAGAGCAGCATCTGGAACCCGTGTCTCAGGTCTAAGCCCAGAGCTTTCCCGACACCTCACTGGCTCAGCAGGAGCTGGCTGGGGTTACCTGACACTCGGTCAACAGTGATATGTAAAATGTGACAGCCTGGACAAATGAATAACATCGTCTAAGAAAGATCAGTTTCAATTAAGCAAGGGACGCTGGCACAGGAAGAGGTCATACTGACCTAATTCAAGTCCTGCCCCCCAACCTCCCACGCGAGCTGCTGAAGGACCTCAGTCAGGTCCTTTGGTGTCCTTGAACTTCAGCTGACTCATCTCCGAAGTGAGGGTAAAATACTATTATATATCTACCTACTGAGTGGCTGTGAGGACCACGTGAAGAATGGGTACAAAGGCCCTCCCACAGCACCCAGACCTCCTGACAGCACCCTGATTTATACCCAGCTGAGGGCACCTCCTCGAATAAGGCACGAAATGTGAGTGGGCAAATGAAACCCTCAGCTCTAGCTGTGACTGTATCACCAACTTTCCACGCGAGGTTTGGCCAGAAATTCCCTCTCTGCACTTCAATTTCCTCATATTCCATAAATACTATCATCATACTTGTACAAATAGCTGCGATTGCCATGCTTTGCATAACTATTAATGACTGTATTTAGGTCCGAGGCCTTTTTTCTTATTATAATAACACCATGGCGATGAATACATAAATAGAACATCTGTGCTTACTAAAGGTTTCAATCTCCTTTCCCCACAAGAATTGTTCTGTTGAGCTCAGGGCACACAGGGAGGGAAGACCCCACAGAAGAGTGTTTTCTTTAAGCATCAAGAAATGCCTTGCACTGGATCTGCCCCACTGGCCCTTCTTTGTGACGCTCAGCCTGACAGCAGTAAGGCTACCGGAGCCCGCTTCCATCTCGGAGAAAGAATGCGAGAGGCACGCCTGCTCGGCAACTCCAGCATTTGGGTGCAAGAGGCTGTTTCCATTTAGAGAACGGGAGGCCTTTTCCTCTCGCTGGGATTGCTAAACACAAACTCAAAATTTTCCATTCTCAACAGCAGTCCCTGAAGCCAGCTTCTCAATTTGATTCAATCCAATGAATATGCAGGGAGTGACTGCGGAAGGCCCTGGGTTAGGTGCTGCTGGGGATTCAAAAAAGACAGAAACGCCCATTGATATCAGGACTGGGCTAACAAGGTTTTCTAGGGTAGTGCTTCCTACAGGAGCTCATTTAACCCTCACAGTACATTTGTGGAGGACATCGTGATGATGATGATGGCGGTGGTGGTGGTGGTGGCTGATTTCCAAGTAAGGAGTAAAGCAACAGAGGATCAGAGAGGTTAAGTAAAGCTATCAGTGACACAAAGCTACCTGGTGGAGGAACTGGGACACAGAGCCAGATGCTGTGGCTCATAACTCCAGGCGCCTCCCATGGTCATATTGCTCCTTATGAGATCACACTGCAACCGGGTCCTACTTTAATGTCCCTCTTGAATACCTACTGTGCGGGCCACTCCTCTACTGGGTAGTAAGTCCCACCATGGGATCAACTCTGTGGATTTAGAGACTGGGGAGGTGTTGGCCCTGGCCTTAAGAAGCTCACGGTCCTGGTCTCTCATCACTCTCCCCCACCCCCCTTTTAACAAGGTCTTTAGGCTGTTGGGTTGCTTATCTCCTTCCCAGGGCATTTCATCATCAACACCATGGATGGTACTAAATCCCATTCTATCGAGAGCATCCAGCCTAGAGGACCTCTTCAGAACCCTGGACAGTTCCACCGCGCAGCAGGGCTGAGGAATTGTGGTGTTTGAGGTCCTGAGGGCTCAAGGGCGGTCTCCTTGTCTTGCACAATGGACAGTGTGGGGAAGAGACTTGCAGAGAATTCTCGTTCATCATCTAGAGATTACAGGGTTCGCTCCCAATTATTTCTTTTTTGCATCCTGCCTTCCTCAATCTATGATATCAGTCCGCGTGTTGTCATCCCTGTATCACCAGCCGTAATATTTTGCTTTACATAAAGTAGGTGGCCACCAGCGTTTGAGGTTTCTTCCTTCTCTCCCTCCCTCCTTTATCGTAACAAAGTTTGCATTTATGGGGAGGATTGCCATTATTTCATCCCAGAACTCAGAGTGAGAGGTCAAGAGGGCTACCTCGGGATTCAGCTGGGCTAACTAAGCATTATTAGCTCCTGACTCCTTAGTGGGGCCATAACAGAAGTCATTCTCCTTCACACGTCCCAGGGGAAGTATCACTGCATTGTGCATTCAGGGACGAGGGGAGTATGAGCTTCATAGATCTGGGTTCAAAGCTCAGCATTGCTTCTTAATAGCTGCGTGACTTTGTGCAAGCCACTCGATATCTCTGCACCAATGTCTTCACTGGCAAAAGAAGAAAAGCAACACCTTCTCCCCTGCAGACTTAATATACATGTGTTTGCATATAAAAATACACTACAGCATAGACATTCAGCATTGGCCAGTCACGGATCTGAACTACATATGCGTGTAAGCACAGAGAGCTAAAAATCAACAGCGTGCTCCATCATCTGCATTACCTACCATAGAGCTCACGACAGGTATAAGAATGGTGGGGAACTCTGGACATTGAGCCTTCGGGAGGTTAAGCGAGGCGTCGAAGGTTACAGAGGCAGAAGGTAGCTTTTCTAACCCGAACTCTTGGATATGACATTGTTCAGATTGTACTGGAATTAAACGTCTAAGTTTCTTCCAGGTTTACCCCAGCAAAGCCATTCACATACATCCTAATGAAGAATGGGCATTGATGGCGGAATAGAACCTGATTTACAGATATTTCAAAATAAGAACTGTACTATTTCCTTCAATAAAATACCATAACTTGCAAGAGGGAGCAGCGCGTTGCCAGGTGGGGCAGTTAAATGATCGACCCACGGAACTGACCCGGTTCTTATTCATCATCCTTAATATCCGAAGTCGTGTCACAAAATGATCCCAGTCCCTCTGAATGGCCTCTTCCCAAATGGTTATTTACACATCATTAAATTCTTAATAGAGGTAGAAACCAAAGGCTGAGAGTTCCAAGCCACCGCAACGTCAGTATTAATCAGAAACATGCAAAAAGCCAGTGTGTCCTGGACACGATTCAACTGGCAGTAAAGTGTCCAATATTTTTATTCCATTTTATCTGGAAGGAAACTAAAACACCAGACTGAACACCAGAAACCTTCATTCTGGTCTGTTTGGGACTCGGGGGTCTGGAGACAGGCTGCCCGGGCTTCAACGCCATTCCCACACTTGGGAACCGCATGGTCTGTGACCCATCACTTCACTCTTCAAGGCTGTTTCCTCCTGTGCAGGCGGGTGACACCACCACTGCCTACTGCTCAGGGTGATGGGGTGAGCTTCTAGAATAAGAACGCTCGGTCACAAGAAGGACTCTTATTATTTTCCAGACCTAGAAGTGCCCTGAGCAGACCCTGGGCTGGGGGGCTGAAGGGGGGTGTGGGTCTTACCGGAGCTCCTGGTGGCCCAGGTGGGCCCTGGTGACCTCGTGGTCCCGGTGCTCCCTGGAAACACAAGCCAGGCACACATTAACCACGATTCCCCTTCCATCTGACCTGACCGCCACCACCCATGCCCTCTGCTGCTCTGAGTTTACTTCCCAAGCTCCCAACAGGGACCCAGAGGTACAGGGCTGGTGTCTGCAATCCTGGCAGAAAGCCAACGTGGCACATCACTGAAAAGTTCCATCTGTCCTCAAAGAGCAGTTTCCACCCCATGGCAGTGGCCTTTCTATCCCTGCTACCACCTGGAGCCCACAATGGGGGGCCCCACATTCCTCTTACCTGCTCGCCCTTCAGGCCCTCTTTCTGTACCTGAGAAAGAAACCAGGCGTCAGCAAAGGTGGTGGCATTTTTTCAACAGTCAGCCTCTGCCCGCTCCACAGAGGCCATTCCCATGGCATGCTGCAACACAGCAACTTCTGACTTTTCTCTGTCTCCCGTTTTTAGTCCTGAAAGCCTTGTATCCAGCTTGTGTGGTCAGAAGAGTTCTGCCTTATTCTTAGAGGCAGGAATTCTTCCAACAACCCAATGATGTCTGCCTATGAGTCCACGGTCCCAGCCGCCCAGGACGGTGCCACTTACCACAGAGCCCGGTACGCCAGGTGGTCCTGCGGGCCCCACATCACCCTGCGTGGAAATGAAGAGCGTTCAACAGAGCGCACGTTGTGCCACATTATGTCCCCATCCCCCACCCCTTCGAGGCTCTTGCTTATTCATGCAGTTCCAGGGGGCCACTTCCTTTTCTGCACTCAGCCATACGTGCTGGCGACATGCCTGGTCTGGCTCCCTTCTTGTGCTGGTCTCCAACTATCTGCGTCTAATGCTTATCTGGGCATCAAGCCTGGAGGAGGCTGGCTTTCCCTTCCATGTGCCTCCCCTCCAGTACCTAGATCTGGCTGGTGCCCTCACAGCTATTTCCTGCTCAAGCACAGCCCTTGGTCCATATTCAGTGAGCGCCTGCTTACATCAGGCCCTGCGTTAGCTGCACCAAGACGGGGTGACACCTCATGGCACATCCCTGCTGCCAAGTCCGCGGTTCAGCACACATGGCCAGCATTCAATCAATATCTATCAGATCAATAACTACCACAAATCCCGTGATGACACTCATCCATTTTCAATATGCCGTGATATACAAAGACCGGTTTTGTGTCTCCTTCTCCACTTCCTCCAGGACACCTGGGCAATGACCGTGGCCCGATCAGATTTCCCAGGTCGGAGACACATCTTGGTTCTACGAAGGGCATGTTTGTCAACTGTGGCCACAGAAAAACGGCGACTGCTATCGCTCCATTGCCCTGTCGCTAAAACAAGGACACTACCCATGGCCAATGTCCCCTCATGTGGCTTGAGAACGTCACTTTTCACTTTCCCTAGAGGCTACCTCAGGGAGCACCAGCATTCAAGCAGGAGGACTGACTAAATTGGCATGGGTGGAGGAGTCGTGAATAAATAAGAAAGCATCTGTTAAACCCTAAGGCTAAGGAGGGAGAGGGAGTGGCTCAAGGTGCATCTGTCACCCTTCACTTCTTCAAAGGTTCTACTCTATGGACGGGGCACACTTTCTCTGACACCAAAACTGATACAGTCACAACTGTCCCCACCACGGCCCAAGATTTGGCAAAATCACCTCTCTTTACATAGCAGCGGGTGGTTCCTAAAATCTCCATTGACAGTGTTTTTTAATAGCCTTTAACTTTGAACAAGACCCCCTACTTCTCTTGGCCTCTGTTCTCTCATCTGCAAAGGGAGGGGCTGTAAAGATCAGCTCTATGGCTCCGGGGCTTTCTCACACTGTGAAATATCTGAGATCTGTCTCAGTGACGTTCTCTCACTTGGGAGGCATCCAGCCCCCCGAGCATCACTGGTATCTGGTCTCTCGGTTATTCCAAAGAGTGTCCTAAAAAATACCATGTCCCTGACCTCATCCCCCCACTTCTGCTGCATGCATCACAATAAGCAATGAAAATTCATGTTTCCCAAACAGGAGGGACCCAAAAAAGTCTATACGTGAGGCAGAAGTTTAGAATTTATAGTAATCTCTCTCTCACGCACTCACACTCTCACTACACACACATGTACACACACATGCACATACACATGCACACACACACACACACACGCGCGCGCGCACACACACACACACACACATACACACACGCGCGCACACGCACACTCAGGCAGTAGCAGGAAAGTCGTTACCAGATCCAAGCTTCAATGATCCTTCTCTCTTAATGACTTGAAATAAACTCCTTATTTTAGAATTCAGCACCCCATCAGGGAACTGCGAGGATATATTAAAATCCTGATGCCATGATAGTATGAAAATGTAAATCTCAACTCTAAAAATACTTACACAGAGGGAGAATAATTAACTCAGCTAGAACTGCGGCCCAAGCGAGCGAGTTGGAAAACATCAACGTTCTCCATCCGCCTGTCCTTGCCTGAGGGTTTTTCAGCCTGTCGGTCTGTTTATTTATTTATACCGTGTACCCTGCCTGCTGCTAAGGACTCAGAGTGGCCTTCCCCTCTTCATTTCTTTTCAGCGTCTGCTGGGAACAAGTGTGAGTTGGCCAGTGACCCTCCCCTGGGCTCTGCTATGACACTGAGTAGACGTGATGCGACTCTGGTCGCACCCACCTTAGTTTAGGGGATCCCACCTGCTCCCCCAGCCCCTCCCCAGCTATTCTCAAGCCCGTGTCAATGTCTTCCCTAAGGGACTGTCCACGAATCTGGAGGACAGTTCTTCTCTGTAGGCACGCGCAGGGCTGCCCGTCTCCCCTCTGCTGGAATCCAGCACACATCAATCACATTGCCTTAGTTTCCCCGTGCTGCTTAGCAAGGCTATTATCTTCACTTCGTTCTTAGTGCACCTCCCGGGCCTGCAGAGAATTTGCACGTGCAGTTTGTTCAGCCGAGATACACAAATTCTAAGAGCACGCTCACAGGGCTCAACCTTGTTAAGAAAGGGTCCTACAGTGGATGTCGAGTATGGCAGAAGATACTCTTTATTTTGTTTATGAAAGATCTACCATGTTCTCAGGGTTATTACTCTGGTAAAAAAAAATGTTTTCATGTTGCAGAAAACAGAGAAGGGGAAAGAGAGGAGGAAGAAAAGGAATTTGTAAGATTCTTTTTTTTTTTTTGGTATTTATTACTAGCCTGCCTTAGTCCAAAATGATATAAGTAGTATAATATTTTAATATGTCTAGACATGATATAATAGGGATTTTTTTATTAAATAGGTTTTTATTCCTAAAAGTAGAAAGAAGTTTAAATACAATCAGCAAAACCCCTCGTCCGCTGAGTCCCTGACGCCCACTCACCACCTGTCTGCACGCAGTGCCCAGGACTCCAGCCTGGCCCCCACCCGCCTCTGGGTGCTGACCAGCACGCAGCACACACACCTGCTGGTCCAGAGCCCAGAGGCCCCTCCCACCCCAGGGCTGGGCTCACCTTCTCTCCCCGGGGTCCTGCCACACCGGGAGGGCCGGGCCTTCCCTGGAGGAAAGAAAGAAAAGGAGAACCGTGGGCAGCAGTGAGTGGAAAGGGGCAGAGAGGACGCAGCTCCCGAGCTGAAAGGTGTCTTTTCCCTGAAGGCCCAACTCCCTCAGACCAGACTTCCTGCACCGCGCTTACTGCTAAAAGTTCCTCAAGGAACCAGGTCTCTGGGGGTCCTCTGCACTCTCGCAACATGAAAAACACATTCTGAGCCAGCAAAGGACCTTTTCCCAAGGGACATGAGGGACAAGGGGCAGAAAGCCAGCAGCCAAGCTCTGCTTTGGGCCCAGGGACCGTGGAGGGCCATGCCTGGTGGTGGAGAGCGGCGTCGTTAGGGGGTGCTGAGGGCTGGCGAGTCTCCGGGGCCCAGAGAGGAGGGACAGGCTGCCGGAATCCTGGACCAGGACGAGCTGATGCGACAGGGATGACCAGGCCTCAAGAGCCAAGGGCTGGCGTAGGAGGTGCTGAGGACCAGCCCTCGCTTCTTCGATGCTCCCACCAGGAGGCCTTCTGGGACGGGCCCAGTGGAAGCCCGGGCACCTGACGCTCCCAGCAGAGCAGGAAGTGAAAGGGACCCAGGAGCCACCCCACACTCAGCCATGAGGAAGCCTCTGGAAGGCAGTTAGTTACACAATCAGTGTTCATCCCCTGACCTGATGAGAGATTTTTGTCGGAACTCGTCCTAAAGGAATAAGCAGCGATACCCTCACCAATATGTAGGCAGCCACTTGCCCTTCCTTTTTAGTATAAAGAGCAAAGGGCGGAACAGGACGTAAAGGTCCCATAACAGGAGCAGACCCTCTGGGAAGCTCCCTGTCCCCTGACTCTTCACACCCTCCCTGCGGCCTTCCACCAGCCGTATTTCACCCGCTGGCTGGTTTATTGTTTTGTCACCACCCTCCTGTGAGACGGGGTCTTTTCTCTCTTGCATCGCCATGTGGGTATTTCCAGTGATAAGAGTCAGGCCAGGGACACAGGCGGCACACAATAAATATTTTTAAGCAATAAAAACAAATCAGTTAGGGCACATTCACACCTTAGATTACAGTGGTCATCTGAGTCAGGCCCTCAGTGAGTATTTAAGAAAATGGTTCCATGTTTATGACATAATGATAAGGAAAGGCGGCAAGCTATAAAGAGATATGATTCCAATTTGTGTGATAACAAAAAATATAAATCAGGGTATTATTTCAGGGTAATGAGGCTAGCTGTAATTTTAATTTATGTTAATATAGTATATTAAAATATATTTATAGATCAAATATAATTAACTTATGTATTTAATTATTTTATCTTTAAGCTAATAATAAAACATATTAATTGACTGATACATTGATGTGTTAAATTGTATTATACAAATAAGCATTTCCCTAATTGTTTTCAGGTAGATATATGAGTTTAGGTTTTATTTAGTTTCAACCAATTAACCATTTAAATATTTAAATTTAGTTACTTTTTGGATAATACGTTCACATGGTTCAAAATTTAAGTGCATAAAAGTTGCTTTCCCTTCCCATCCACCAGCCACAGAGGTTCACGTCCTGGGGAAACCAAGAAAGCAAATTATCTGTCCTTCCAAAGATAGTCCATTGTCTATATAAATCATGGCTGCATTTTTTTCCACTCCATTCTACACTTTCCTTTATTTTCCAAACCATGTGTCTTACAGAATACAGCTGTATCAGCTCATCGTTAGGAGTTTCGTTCATTTCCAAGGTTTCATATTATCCCCTGCATCTATACACCCTGCTTTATTCAGCAAGGTTCATTCTGGAACCTGACCTGATGGACACGGTGCGATGAACACATCACTTGGGACATGCACACGTCGCCTACGGCCCTCACCTCCATGATCACACATCACATCCCTGAGGTTAGAGCGGATGTAAGGACGTGTGTTCCCTTGGGGCCCCTCCACTCTTAGGACCATAAGCGGGGCTGGCCGCCGGGTCTCCTGAAGCCCCCAGCCAAGCAGGATGAGGCCGAGGCCTGTGACGTGCCAGGCCTGTCACCCCTGCCTTCTGACATCACTCACCCCAGCGGTGCCAACGCCACCTACCACCTACCTGCTCTCCCGTCTCCCCGTGCTTCCCGGGGAATCCATCCAGGCCTCGCTCCCCCTGGCAAAAGAAGGAAAATGAAGACATGAAGAACAGACGGGCATCCCCAAGGTCGATGTCATAAAAAGGAAAAGCAGTCAAAGGCCCTCAGGGTCCAACGGTGCTCAGCGCTACTCTCCACCAGGCACCTCTGGATACAGACCAGACACACACAGACACACACACACACACACACACACACACACACACACACACACACACACACACACACACACACACACACACACACACACACACACACACACACACACACACACACACACACACCACACACACACACAAACACCAGCCGAGCGTTTAAGTGTATTCGGTGTCAACGAGCACAGTCAAAGGTCAGAGAAACCAGATTCTGCTTTGTATTTCCCAAATCCGTGACAGAGGGAAGGCCAGCGAGCCTCTCTGAACCACAGTCTCCTCATCTCACGGGTCCTCATGGGGGTCAAAGTAACGTGTATGTGGGGCTTGTAAAGTGTGGGCACATCTTATTCATCATTCATTCACCCGGTGAGTGTGTGTGCACACCCACTGCGTGCCCAGTGCCTGCGGGAGGCCTGAGAGCTGTCGGCCAACAGTACGCCGTCCAATGTCCACCCATCTGCTTACGTCCAGACAGAGCCCGGTCTGAATCTCTTCCTCGCTGTGGAACCTTGGGCGAGTCACTTCACCTCTGTGAGACTGTTTCTGTTGACCATGTTTCATGGGATGATGATATTCCCTTCGTTGAAAGATACTCGTGTCTAAGGAATGAGATAACGTGTCTAAAACACCTGCTTTTGACAGGTAGGAAATGAACAGGCACCAGCGTTCTTCTCTCAGACAAGCACTGGCTTTGCTGAGCCAAAGCCTGGAGACGCTGGTGTGTGCCATTCATGTCTAGTGTTCCCAGCTGGCGTCCTTGTCCCCGCGGGCCCTCGGGCTGTCGGTGGAAGAAGGGGACTCCAGAAGGAGGGTTCAGGCTCATGTTAACAGCGTGCCCCGTGGCACTCCAGCAGCTGTGGCTTCCCTCTTTGAGTTCCTCAAATAGAGCCAATTCTTTCTTGTTTCGACATGCTGCTCTCGCTGTCCCCTCTGCTGGCTCAATACCCTTCAGGGCTCACTTAAATGTCACCTCTTTGCCTTTTGAATCCAAATTATCAACTCTATTCTTCTCCACCACGGTCTCATAATTATCTCCCCCCAGCTCTTAATTTGAATTGCTCATCCATGTTACTATCCTTCTCTCTCACATGAGGACATGAGGCGTTCACTCTGTTATTACTGTGTCCCCAGGGCCCAGCCCAGACACATAGTGTGGCCCCAGCTGACAGGGATCGAATGACCAGAAGGCTGCCCATGAAAACTAGTTTGAACTCTACTTCTATTTCCCTATGACTTTATTGCTTATGTGCTTTTTTTTTTTTAAGGTTGGTGTGTCTCTCTCAGGATGTTGTTTTTCTTTAGATAGTGGAGGATTCTTCGTTTTCTGCTCATTTTTGCTGTGCTAGTCTTGGGTGGCCTGCCTGTGGATAATTGATTCTATTTACAATAGCCCACCTTTCGTGGCTGCTGGCCAAGGTGGCTCTTTCTGACAGGTGGGAGGCATCGGTGGGTCTTTTCGGTGTGCACGCTCCCACGCCTTCTGGGAGTTGCTGGCTACCTGGGGAGTCGTTCTCTGTCTTAGTCTGGGGTAAAAACTCATGCTCCCACTGGCCAGTTCCACAGAGATCAGGAGAGGAGGGGCCCAGCTCAGCCCAGTACACGGCCCCAATTAATCACTGACCACTGGGCAGGATGCCCCCACTCCCATCTCCATGGGCTTGAACTTGACCCTCTCCCAGGACTGCAGTTTGGTTTGCAGTTTCCCTCCATCTTGCATCTAGGTAAACGTAATCATATACATTCCATCCTTCACAAATTATTTAAAAATCCTAGAACGATGATGTACGCATTTCTATTTTCAAGCACTACTATGTACAATTCTGCTTTTGAAAAGGTCTTCATTCCATGCGTTTTGGGGTGAACAAGAGGAGAGCTGTCTGTATTTGCTCTCTCTGCCTGGTGATTCCATGCCTGTCACCACATCCTCTCTTCCTCCGAACACTCCGACATTGACAGGCTCAAGGGCCGACGACAGACGAGGAAACTGAGGCCCAGATGTGAAGCCACTTCACCAGTGAGGCGTGCTTGCACTGGTCCAAAACCTGGCTCTCCTGACCCTCGGTCCTCTCTTTCTACCTCCTCACGGGCTCCTGGAGCAGCACGCTGGTCTCGTGCACTGACGCCCAGGGTGGCCAAGCTGGCGACGTCTTCAAATCCACAGAACCGAACTGCCTCATTTGGGAGGTGAGGGAGGTGAAGAAGCTGACGAGCTGAGGGGGTGTCTCCTGTCCAGGGCCACATGGAAACCGAGTGACGGAGCCAGGACCATAGGCAGGACCTCTGGCTTCCAGTCCCGACCTCTACTCCTTGTAGCGGCCCCGCCTCCTACTGGGGCATGTCCCACGGGCTCAGCAAAGCAAACGTGCCGACCAGGTTCACGGCTTGTTATTTCACACGTTTCACCTGGACGCGGAGGGCTCTGCCTGTTGCCCAAGCCCCTGCCGCTAATTCCTTGCACTTGCATTTCAAGATCAGTGGAGCCTGGAGCCAAGATTTCTCCCAGCTGCGACTCAGCCCCGCGGCGGGAGCAGGTCGAGGGCTGGGCTGGACACGGTGTCAGCGATCTGCATCGCTGGTCAGCACACAGACAGTGGGGGCCAGGAGAGACACAGCTGGGTGCTGGCAGACGTGGGTGCTCATTCGCGGGGGACACGAGAAAGCGAATGAGCAGGAGAGAGTGGACGACGGAAGAGGGGCTGAGGGAGAGCAGAGACAGGCGGACAGACAGAGGGAGACGGACACAGGGAGCGACAGGACACACCAGGCGATGGCCTACACAGCAGGGTCTCTAACTGAAGCGCCTTCAGAGGCCCCGGGGGACCAGAGGTGGGGTGCAAACTATAGGGGAGAACAGGGTCAAAGGTCAAACCTGACAGAGGAGTCCCACCTAAAGGCTTGACCCGCAGTTTTGTTCTGTTGTTTGTTTTTATTGGGTTTTGCTGCCACTGCACTGACCATACAAGCATGACAGGGGACAGGGTTTGGACAGCTGGTGCCAGCTTGGTTTATGGCATAGACTGAGGGCTCTCAGGGGTGGGGAAGGGCAGGTTTCGGTGGTCAGCCTCACAACACGGACGCCAACCCTGGCTCTAGCCCTCTCCAGCTGTGTGGCCTTGGACAAAACCTTAGCATCTCTGTGGCTCAGTTTCCCATCCAAACAGGGATGACGTTTCCCTTATAAGGCTGCTGTGAGATTTAAGTAAGCTCGTAGGTGGAAAATACTAGAACAATGCTAAACAGGCCTGTCTGATGAGGAGATGGAAACTTCCTTCTTGCTGATGTAAGAAATCAGAGAAAATTAGCTGGTTTAAGTGCCCATCAGATGCAAGAACTGGAAAGGAGCCTAAGGCGCCTGCAACCCGGCCTTCCTGTTTGACAGATGGGACGATGGAGGTGCAGAGGGGAGGCCAGCTGTGCTCAGAGTCACCCAGGAAGTGAGCGCCAGTCAGAAACCATACCCAGCGCTGAGCTAGCAAAGCCCAGGTTCGTGCTTGCCTCTCTCTCTCTCTCTCTCTCTCTCTCTCTACCCTCTGTATATGTGGCACATGCTGCCCAGCTCTGTTGTAAGGATTTTATAAATATTAACTCACTCAATCCTCACAGTAGCCTTATGTAAGAGGTACAATTCTCAGCATTGAGGAAATTTGGGACTCAGAGGTTAAATAAGTCCCCAAAGGCCACACTGCTTGCAGAGCCCAGGTCTGGGGTTCGAACACAGGCAGGCTGACTCCAGGGTTGCCATAAAAGCTGCCTCTGTGCCTCAGTGCCGCTGCCGGGTGCTGCCTGGGGGGACGGAGGCCGATGGGGACACTGGCTGGACATCCTCTCCTGGACAAGCACCCACACTCAGCACACATCATGCATGTGCACGCATGTACACACGCACAGACACACACACACACGCATGCGCCCACGAGCAAGCAGCGTGGACGGTCGCAGGCACCCTCTTCCTCTTGGCTGTGGAGAGCTGCGCTAGTGACTAAATACCTTTTCCCCTCGGGCTCCTAGGAGACCCTGCGGGAGAGCGGGAGATCAGTAACACAGCATCGCCAGCTTCTCCGTCCTTCAAGCGTCAGGGCCCAGGGACAGGCTGCCCGGGAGTGAGGTGCCTGCCGCCACCCCCGCCCCGATGAAGTCGCCCTCCGCGCAGCAGCCTGCTGTGTCCCCTCAGGCCTGGGCAGCCGCGCAAGGCCCCCGACAGGGTCAGAGGTGAGCCCCAGGGGCTGGCCCCTGGCGCAGGCTTTCCAGGGCCTCCTGGTCACAACTGGAACACACCCCGGTCCCTGAGCTCATCAGCCAGCGGCAAGGATGCAGCTGTGGAGACAGTGCCCACTGCCGCCCGGAGCCTGCAGTCCTGTCGGGATGGTGGAATCCAGGAATGGCCCCAGCACTGAATCTGACACCTGAGGCCCTTTCACACCACCTTCCTCCACCTGCCCCAGGGACAGGGGCACAGCCCGTCCTGCATCCACCCCGCCTTCCTCAGGGGGGATTCCCTCCCCTCTGTGAACAGGCTGCGTGTGGGCTTCTCTGACCACAGGCTCCACAGCAGCGTGCCTGCCCCACGCCCCTCCCCCACACACAGCCGCTGTCCGTCCTCCCTACCACACGGTCCTTCCCCACAGCACTCAGCCCCGTGACACACCTGCCGCCCCCAAGGGCAGCGCCTCCAGTCCTTCAAGGTCATAACCCTGAGTCTGGAACAGTGCCTGACACGTGATGCTGCTCATAAACGCTTGCTGAGTGAATAAACGACTCAGTGAATGACTGGATCAATCACTGCTCAGTGCGGCATCTTCTAAGTCAGGGCCCCACCCAGATGTGCAGGGGACACAGTGAGATGGGGGCCACCAGCACCCGCCGATAGAACCACAACCTCCCCCGGGTCAGGGTGCACGGCCCCGCTGCAGACGCTGGCTGGGCCCCGTGTTACTACGGGAACCCCCGTGTGGCCCCTCTCTGTCCTCTTCTTTCCCAGAGAAAGGACCTTGGACATTCTCTGGAGAGGATGTTAAGGGAAGCAGAGACGGCCAGGCCCACTTGTGGATTCTGGGAATCACACACCCACCTTCGGTGCCTGGAGGGGAGGTCCAGGGCCACAGCCATAGGACGCTGTCCCCGAGGGCAGAGGGTGTGCTGACCACTCGGGCCGGTGGATCAGCTGGCCTCCATGCCACTTTACCTCCATCCACACGGAGATCAGAGGGCGTGATGCCTCTCAGGCAACGCCCGCTGCCTTGTTTGCAAATGACCCATTACATGGCCCTTTCACTTGGAGATAGTCTCAGATCTTTCTTAACTAGAACCAAGAACAGGCTTTGACACCACTTGGCTCCTGACTACCACACCTGTTTGTTCATCACTGCCTTCAGTGGGTACATGGTCATTAAACACCCGTCACCTTCCTGGAACTTTCTACAGGCTGGGAATTAACAAGGACACCGCTCCCTTCCAGAGTGGTGGGCTAGACAGGTGGGTGACAATGGCTTCTCTAGGTCAAGTGCCAGCAACGCTGTGGCTTCTGGTAAAAAGGCATATCCTCAGGCCCCACCGAAACCCACTGCTTCACTGCAGTGGGTCCTGGGAACGGGCATTGAAATTTATTCTCCAGGAGATTCTGAAGTTCCAAATGTCGACGCATTTCTGGCCTAAGACGAGACCAACACTTCACTGCCATTGACGTGTCCATGACAGTGGGTCCTCCGTGCACAGAGGCAGGTGGGGGACTTGTCAGGGAGCTTGGGCCCCCATCTCTGGAGAAGAGAAGAGAGCCCTTTGCAGGCAAGCGCCTTTACTTACAGGAGCGCCAACGTGTCCAGGAGGTCCGGGGAGTCCCGGGGGTCCTTGGGGTCCCTGCAGCATTCACAGAAAGGTTTGGGAATGGGAAGAAGAGGCAGAAGCAGAGGAAACACTCAGTCAGCACCAGGCTTGGGGAGAAGACCCTCTGCTTCTCACCCGCCACGTGCTGCCATGCTGCTCACAGGTCTCACCAAGCAACCGCACCCTCCTGCTCCTCCTCTGTTTAGAGCTTACGCCATCGCCCGCCTGGTGGAGCCAGGATTCACACCCCGTCTGCTCAGCTTCCAGGAAGAGCTGGCAGTGTGCCGGCTGAGCTCTAATGAGGCCAGTGCAGCAATTCCCCAACCCTGTGCCCCTTGCCCCATCATCTGGCCAGGATATGTGCACAGCATCTGATCAACACGACTGGTTCCTGTGCTCAGCAGGCACCCTTGGCCAGGGGGCCAGGACGGTCTGGACAAGCCCTGACAGAGCCCAACAGGAGTCTGCAGTGCCCGCAGGCAACTCTGCCGCCTGGACCATGGATTGCCACAGCTTTTAAGCGACTAATTTGGCAATATCTGTTAAAAGCCATTAAAATCAAAATGTGCATTTCCTCAGCCAAAGGGACCCCAATGTTTGTAATCTGTCCTACTGAAATGAAAGCATAGGGAGAAACACACATACACTCACACACATGCACACGTGCATGCAATTACCACTTCACTGATTTTAGTGAAAAACAAATGACATAAGAAACAGCCTTCAGGGTCCATAAATGGGGAAAGGTTATGTAAATTATGATGCATCCACATCATAGAATAATAATATGCACAGATTAAGAGAATGGCCGGTATCTGCCTACTGGTATGGAAAGATGTCTCTGATCTCTTGTTAAATGAAGAAGAAAATGGAAGAATACAGTATGGTTCACTTTTTCTAAGAATTTAGGAAACATAGTACACGCGTGGACACACACACCCATGCATGCATGCAGTTACATGAGCAGGGTCGGCAGGGGTGCGGCGGGGCATCTCCCTACACCTAAAGCAATGGGTTTTGCATCAAGGCTTGTGCATTAGGCACATGCGGCGAACACGGCTCAAGGGACACTTACCCGCATGCCCACCTCGCCCGGCAGCCCCGGCTCTCCAGGTTCCCCCTGCACATACGAAACAGCGCACCGTCACAACCCAGCCGGACACAGGCCCAGCCACGCCGGGCCCCCCAAAGCCTCTGGGGACATCCATTCCTGGACCTCAGAACTCGTCACAGATGCAGTGTAACGCCCAATGGTCAGAGGCCCCGGCTCCCACAGAACCTCCTTCTATCAGCAAAGGAGCTGATCTTCCCCGCGGGTGCTGTCATCTCAAGCCCCACTCGCTCCCGCGCTGGAGGTCAAAGAACTACATTCGGACAGAACAGTGCCCAGTGGCTGGCGTGGCACTGAAGGCCTTCTTCATGGAGGAGGGGAGTTCGAGGGGTCTGCAGCTTCATGGAACTCCCCTTTTTCTCCTAGTCTCCACCGCAGACCTCCTGTCCTGAAGTGCTAAAGGCTGTGGGCTTAGGAGGCTCCCATAGTCAGGGCTCCCACTCCGAGACCTGCTCATACATGGCTGGGGACCTCAAAGGGAGCAGAGAAGGGGGACACCCAGAACGGATTTCCATGGGGGTTCCTGGTGGAGAAGGGTACCCCTCTTCCTGCGGAGCAGGCTGACCTCCCAGAGTAGAGATCGCTTTTGCCTGAGTCTCTGGAGCGTGTTTCAATGCAGAGATAGAGTAGGGGTGCCGATAAGAGGGGGGCTGGCAGGCCACCCAGGGTCTGGGGCACTGCTCGGGCCCCACCCCAGCTTCTCTAGCTATGAACCTTGGACCAGGACATGGTTCCAAGTCTGGGCATTGGGGACAACAAGACCTCCCATGTAGAGCAGCTTGTCCACTGAGAAAATAGCTTCCGAGGACACACAGGCGATGCCCAGTAGCAATAGAGGCTGCTGGTGTTGTTATACCCATTGGGCTGCCCTCCAGGGATCTGGGGAGATGCTGGTACTAATGAGCCCCAGCTCCGGCCTGGGCCTGGCAAACACCACCCCTCCGGAGGACACGGGGCTCTGAATGGTGGGTCTCAGGCCCAGAGCTGAGATGCGGGAGGGTGGGAGGAACAGACGTACCCGGACTCCTTTGCTGCCGTCTCTCCCAGGGGGACCGGGCGGGCCTAGGGAACCCTAGGATGACAGAAGGAGAGCAGTGGTTAGGACAGGATGTGGACAACACTGGAGACAGTGTCCTGGAATGCTGGGTAGTGGACACAGTGCCAGCCAGGGGTGTGGCCGAGACTATGCCAGTCAGTCAGCGGGTGGTCCCCCAACCTGTAGCCTGGGGGACACATGACAGAGTGTAAGAAATGCAGGTTCTCAGGCCCCAATGGAGACCCACTGCACTGGTAGACCCACTACCTGTTAACAAGACCCCCAGGTGGTCCATATGCACCTGGCAGCAGTGGGACCCCAGGCCCACGCCCCTGCCCTGACACGCAGTGTGGCCACCTCGCTCCAGGCTCAGAGCCACACGTGTGAAGCAAGGCACTGGGCTGGAGCAGGTCCTGCCCCTGGGCCCTGTCCACACCGGGCAGGACTGCACGACTTTTTGTTGGGGGGCTGCCCGGGCATTGCAGGGTGTCCACCAGTAACCCTAGATGCCTGTGGCATTCCCCAGCTGTAACAACCAAAAATGTCTTCAGTTACTGCCAAATATACCCTGGGAAGCAAAACCACGTGCCACATGAGAAGCAGTGGGCTCAAGCAGGTAATCTTTTTAAAAACCTGGAGCAAACTCCATTTGAATGAATCACATGCAGAAGCTGGTGACAAACACACTCCTGGAGCAGCTGTGGGTGGAGAGGGGACCTGGGCCAGGCTGCTCATATCCCCCCACATACACCTCCTGGAGAGGGGCTGGAGGCAACTGAAAAACAGGGGACCCCAGGACCCCGAAGCCCCCGTGCAGCTCCCACACCACCTGATTCAAATCACGGATTCCACTGAGCCTGCCAGCTCAGCTCCCCCCTTCTCTGTCACTTCCGTGTGACACTGACCAAGTCAATGCCTCCTTCTGGACTTTTCCATCTGAGAAATGAGGGTGTGGCCATTCCGTGGAGTGAGCTGATGCATCTATAGGTAATATTCAGAAACCACTATGTGCTGAACCAGTGGTATTTCATATTTCATCTCATTTAGTCCTCATAACAACCCCGCCAGATGTCTCTTATTTTCTCAAAGGCACGTCAGACATTACCTATTTCTAGTGTTTATCTACAGATTCAGACATGTGCATGTATGTGTATATACAGATACACACACACACATTTCCTTTTAAAATTTCTATGAAGTGTCATCTACGACCTCAATATTCTAATATAAGTCAGCGTGCTATTATAGAAAAAGACAGACAGACAGACATGTCGACCCTGGCATCACACAGACGTTGAGTCTGTGCTCCAGCTCTGCACCCTGTGCCACGCCTGTAGGCTCCGTGTGTCACTCGCTTCTTGGCTGAGTGTGGACAGTGCCAGCGGCAGGATGCGGGGAGGTCTGGGGAACGCAGCACATGTCCTGCTGTGGGGACAGGACGGGACTCCTGGTGCAGTCCATCCTCCGGCCCACAGGTCACAGCTGCCCGGCCCACAGTGACAGTGGGACCGGGTGGACACACACCGTGACCAGGGAAATACCACCTTCCAAACAGCATGCTGTGAGTGACACGCTGCCTGGGACGGTCACAGCAGACGCACAATCTCGCTGTCTCTGAGGGATTTAACAGCGGAGAGAAGGGCACTTGCCCTCACACAAAACACTCATTTGCCAGAAAGCAGTATTTGGTTCTCAGGTTTGGAGCCAGCAGGCCCAGTCAGCTCCAGTCCTGGACCCCGGAGGGATGAGTGATGGTGGGCAGAAACTTCCAGAGCAGGTGACTCCAGGCAAGGCAGCTTCGTGGGCAGGCACCATGGACTTGGCGGGCTGAGTGGCAGCTCCCGCCACCCTCACTTAGGGGCGCGTGGGCCACCTCGGGCAACTTCATGTCTGAGTCTCAGGTTCCCTCTCTGAAAAAGGGAACAATCACAGCCACTGTGCAGTTTCGTAAGTACTAGTCACCTCCACGGTGCTTCATGTAACGTTTCCAAAGCGGCTCTGGATGGTACAGTGTGGTCTGTAACTAATGTGGGAGGCGCTGGGGAGGGTTGGGGTCTTTAGTCAAGTGGGCTTGTGAAACGCAGTTACCCTGCGTTAACCAGGCAACTTTATAGCTGGCTTTCCTGAAGCCTTACCTATGCTCTTGTTGGTGATGCTTCTCCACAGCGACCTTGTCCCCCGACCTTCCCATGGGCACGAGAGAGGACTGCAGTGGCTCCACGCACATGTGTGTATGGGAGGGTAGGGGGTTCTGCTTCTCTGCGCCTCGTCAGGGGCAAAACTGGTCCTTTACAACTCATGTCAAGAGGACCAGGCTGCCATCTGCAGAGGTTCCCAAGTGCGAGGAAGGAGTCAGCCTTACTTACAGCGTCAGAGGAAAGACGGCGACAGCCTCTGACTGGCAGGCGTTGTGCTCGGCGGGGCCATCTGCAGGGGGCGGTGTTCAGAGACAGCTGGCTGTCCCTGGTGGGCTACAGGGGGCAAGTGAGCCATTGGGGGCGTTTCACAAGGGGGAGGGTTGTTCCGTGTTAGGGCCTGTTTACTTGGGACAAGTGGGAGTCCACAGGGTGCTTTCTGGGGTCACACTGCCATCGCCATCCTTGTGACGGCGGGCAGCTGGTGCACAGCAGAATTTGTGTAAGTAGTCCCCCAGCCCCCCCCCTTTGGCTATTTCAAAACTCAACCATCCAGGCACTGAAAGAGGGGACCAGTGCAGAAGGAAGGGATCTCTGAGGTACCGCGCATGCGCCGGCTAGACATCAATTAGCATCGTTTTCGTCAGCACTAACGGCAGCGCCAACAGTGACACTGCAGTGGTGCCAAAGCTGCTGCTGCCGGCTGCCCATGCTCACCGCACATCTACCACGTGCCAGGCTGAGTGCTGCCCGGAAGTCAGTGCGTGTAGCTCAGCCCCACAACAGCTGTGCAGCAGATGCAACTATCATCTGCATTCGGCACCTTATGAAGTGGAAGCACCGTCCATCATTTCCCCAAAGGTACAGCATTTGCACGTGAAGAGCGCACTTGGGGGTCAGAGTCTGGCTCTTCGTGTCCTCACCGCACTCAGCAGCATCTGTACGCACAGCAGTCGCAGGGCGCTCAGCAGTCCTGCAGCTAAGGGTGTTTATCCTCACTTCACAGGGGCACACGGGCACAGAGGGTCTGTGCCTCTCTCATGGTCACCAGTGGTTTACATGGCGGGGTGAGGTGAGGGTGGGGGTGGCAGCTGATGCCTGAGTGCCCAGCCTGGCTCTCCCCTCCCCTGGGGTCTCGCCCTGCAGCCCAAGGCTGCCTTCCCTCCATGGGGAAGTACTGCAGCTCCTCCATCTGCCTCTCAGGAATAGGAGCTGTGCACCAAGCCAGGATGCGGGGGTCAGCACTGGGCTGGCTCAGCTCCCGGGGGCCCACCTGTCTCCAAGGCCCAGGTTTTAGCCCCTGCCCCATACTGTGCCAATCTGAGCAAACGGCAAGGCAGGGACACCAGCCCGCTGAACTCTGCTTCTCTACAATTCTAGAGCTGAGTTCAAGGTTGCCCCAAAGGGGGACTATCACAGAATAAGGACTTTCCCTGGAAATGCCCTCGGTGGTACTTCCCTCCAGAATCGACCCTGTTAGGGTGACTGGATGCCGAGTTCACCCCAGGGGTCGATTACCCAGGAAAGATGGCGGGTCCTTGAAAGGCCAGTCTGTCCTCTGGCTGCTGCTGCCGGTGGGGACGTCCTATAGCTGAAGGAGGGGCGGGGGCCTCACTGGGCTCCCTCCTCAGGAATAAACGGAGCTGGGATCAGGGCATTGGAATTCCCAGGACCTGATACAGGCAGCCAGAGGAACCCCAGAGAGTTCCAGAACCTTCGCTCTGCCCACAGTTGTCACATGTCCAGCCTTGCTGGCCCTTTCTAGTAGAAGCCCAACAAGTCCCTGTGAATCTGTCTCCTTCACAAGACTCTGCTCTGTGAGGTGAAAAGTCAGGACTTCATCCCCTCCATGTTAGCACTGCCCGCTGGGCAAAGGGCCCACCAGTGCTCTGTCCTTCCGTCCTTTCCTGAGCCCTGTGGGCTTACGGAAGAGACAGCGGGGAGACCCTCCCCCTTTAAAATTAGCCCTTGGGGTATGAAACACCCAGGAACACAGGGAATGCCAGGGTGTTGACAAAACACAGTGGGCTGAAGACCCAGCAGGCTGCAACTTCCAATCCTGCCGCCATCGCTCAGGACTCAGGCCTTGGCCAAGTGAGTGACATGCTGAGTGTCACTCCGCGCAGGGACTGTGAGCCTGGCTGCAGGACCTGTGCTTCCCAGGACACAGGCAGCTGGGCAAACTGGTTTCAGATGGCCGAGGTCACAGCACCAGCCACATCCCCTGGGCTACGGGGGTGGGCTACTTGCTGTGTGATCTAGCACACTGACTAGCGGCCTCCAGAGGGGTGAATGTTTTCTCTGTCTGGGAGGGTAACACCTCCGTGAATCTGATTTCACGAGTACATAGTTAGGATAACCAGCCAGAACTGGAGAACATTCTGAGAAACTTCCACACTCAATCACCATCAGATCCATGCATTTCATCAGACAGGCACTTATGAAAACCGTGACCCCAAAAAGTCAACCTGACCCAGACAGTTCATGTTTTAGTGTCACCTAATCTTCATGTCACAGACCACCACCATGCTGCGGTGACACACCTTCCACAACCCTCCAGATGTTCTAACCATCGGCTGCCTATGGTGGCTTTGGAAACAGGAAGGAAGTTAGAGCCCCAGGCAGCCCACTCGTGTCCCTTCAGGAAAGTCACTCAACTCGCCGAGCCTCAGTTTCATCATTTGTAAGGTAGAGAGGTTCACGCAGCTTTGAGGTGAGAAAATGAATGTGGACACAATTTATAGAGTATAAAATAGTATCAAAGTCCCAGTTGTTTGCATTCTATTGAGAAGGAAGAACACTTTCTCGCATCGGTTGGGTGCGTCATTGAAGACAACAAAAGACTGGTGGCTGCCCGGGTGAGGTCAGAACGGGGAGATTTTTAAAGGGAATATGTGCAGC